AATGTTTATTACCTTATACCTGTTTTCCTGTCTGATACTGCACCTCATTGATGGCTTGGAGATGACTCATTCATCCTGAAATAGAGCTCGACACAAATTTATTGAATAAATGAGTGTTTATTAGTTGCTTACTGTGCCATTCATGTATTTAGAGGGGGCCAACAACTCAATGAAAATCATTCTTCAAGGAAATGGATGGGGGGGTATGTGTATGTATGTATTTATGTATGTCGGCCAGTCTTCCTTTCCATTTCTAAAACCTACTTGGCCTATTGTAAATTAATTCACTGTATACTAATTTGTATATACAGGCATATCTCATTTTATTGCAGTTTGCTTTATTGCACTTTGGACAAACTATGTTTTTTACAAATTGAAGGTGTGTAGCAGGTATTTTTTAGTAATAATTATTTTTAAACGTAGGTATGTACGTAGCCTTTTTAGACTGAATTCTATTGTAAATTTAATAGATTATCAATAGAATATTAATAGATTATAGTGTAAACATAACTTTTATATGTACTCGGAAACCAAAAAAATTGTGTGATTCATTTTACTGTGATATTCACTTTATTGCAGTGGTCTAGAACCAAACCTGCAATATCTCTAAGGTACGCCTGTATTTAAATTAGCATATCATTGAAACTCCTTTAATGAGAATAGGGAGAGGGTTCTAGTTTTATATAGTTTTGTTTGTTACTAAATTTGTTTAAATGATGTTTGACATATCTTATAAGTGTGTCGTGCTGTCATATTAGCAGAGTTTAATTCTGTTTATGACACTATTTTCTTTTTTTCTCCTACTGTTGTTTGACTTTATGGTCCAGATTTTTTTTTTTTTTTTTTTTTTTACTACTTTGAGTTAATGAGCACACGTTAGTCGTGTGGAAGGTGCAGAGAGTACACCCGCAAAGTCCCTGCCATGAAGAGCTTGCAGCTGGATAGGGAAGCAGCTGTGTGCTCGAATTTCAGGGCAAAGTGCATTTCTTTCTGTTAATTCTCTTCTAAGCAATGAGGCAGAGTTGCATGGTTTTTAGTGTTCAAAAGAAACTTAGCCACCATCCCTAACACTGGGAAACTGTCTGGGCAGAGGGGAAAGGGTACAGGACCATTGAGATCTGGGTGGGAACAAAGGAGAATGATGTATAATTGTGGTGGGAAGCTCATTTTAATAGCAGACTGGGAATAGTAGAAGTCATTGATAGGGTTGGCTTATGGCAAGAAGGTCACCCTGAGTTCTGGATGAGTGAAAGTGAACATGGGAGGGAAAAAGGAAATGGGAGGGTGAAAAGTGGTTCACCTTAAATGTACCCACAGGGAAAGGTGGTGAGACAAGTATATACCCTTTATATATACTTGGACTGTTGATACTGTTTACATGAAAGTAAAGGAGGTTAGAAACAGAGAAAAGTTCTATTCAGGCTCTGAGCTTGGCCTGGCTGTGAATAATACTTTCTGTAATTCTCAATCTGGTTACTGATTTACAAAGTTAACTGGATATGTGATTAGTTTCCAGGTTGTACTAGAATACTGATGCAGGGAATACAAAGGCAAATCTTGACAAAAAATTAGAGTGGATTGAAAAGAAATTATAGACTGGGCAAATAATATTTCAGTATAAATGAGATTATATATTTGGAAACTCCTAGTAAACTCTGAAGGGGTAAGTCAGTGTATTTAAGTCTCTGTGTGTATGTGTTTGTGTACTTTCTCATAATCTTTGAAAATCTTCCAGATCCTCTTCTAGATCAGGCCCTGCTCATATCTTTTGGGTAGTAATTCAGCTTCTGCAGTTTCAGGGACAAATCACAATAATAGGATATACTTCAGTCTTGCTGCTTAGATACTAAGAAATCATTATGAGGAGTCATTAAAGTAATCAGTAATTCATAAATTTCTCACACTTGTTATAATGTGTCATACCATAGCTTCATGTTCGTGGTTTAGCAATATATGCTGTTAACAAAGTGAAATAAGTGAATTTAATTATAGAACTTATAATATTTAAGACATTTAAAAAGCACAGGAAATAGAGAAACCCATGAACTTACCACTCACATCAAATAGCTGTTAATATTTTGCCTTGTCTGTCTTTTCTTTTTTCTCTTTTGAAGCAGTAGAACAGCACATGCAGCCAAGGCATTCATGCCCCTCTTCATCTCTCTGTGGAGAGAAGTACTGTTCAGAATTAAGTTTGTGTTAGTGTGATGTATTAAAAAAATTTTTTTACTATAGAATCTGTCTGCAAATAATATATTTTAATTTTTAATGTTCTGCTGACTAAAATTAAATATTTCAAAAATTACTATAGTTCTTCATATTATTCTCCACATGGAAAAATGGAATAATTTCATAATTTTTAACTTTAGTTAGCATATTAGAAACATAGAAAATAGATTTTCAGCATAGCATTCTGACCTAGTAATATAAATTGAAGTGGGTTTTAAACTTTTGTAATCTATAGAATGATATGTGTTTTACATTTTGACCTAGTACCTATCATCTCTGTATGTGTATATTTCTGTGTGTGTGTGTGTGTGTGTGTGTGTGTGTGTGTAAATACTGGAAGAGTTTCCCCAGACTAGTTTCCTGTACTGTGTGTGAGTTGCACTAGTCCCTTGGTATTGGTGGGGTGGGGTGGGGCATGGTTCCAATACCTCACATAAATACTAAAAAATCTATGGATGCTTCAGTCCCTGATAAAAAATGGGGTGGTATTTGCACGTAATTCATACACATCCTGCTGTATAGTTTACATAGTCTCTAGATTACTTATAATATCTAATGCAGTGTAAATGCTATTGTAAATAGTTGTTACTCTGTTTTCTTTAGGGAACAACGATTAAAAAAAAAGTCTGTACATATTCAGTGTTGCTACATTTTTTTTTTTCCTGAATATTTTTGATCTGTGGTTGATTGAATATGTGAATCCAGAACTCAAGGCTATGAGGGCCAACTGTCCTCTGTTATTCTCTAGACTATTTACTTTTAAAATGCTTTGCTCAGGTTTAGTAAATTGATTATTTGACCTAATAGGATGCCACCCATAATTTGAAAGTCATTAGGATTAATCTTAAAATTTGATCTAATCATAATTAATCTAAAATTAAGACTGACTTTAATATATAAGCCCACGTGTTTTTAGTACAATAAAGGTATTTTAAATGATAGGTAACTATATTAAAATAACATTCTTTATATAAGATTTGATTATATTTATTTTAGCTAAGTCATTCTGATTGTTTTTTATAAATTAAGTCCATGTATGTCTTACCCATTTAAAAATTGGATATTAATTGAAGTGTTTGAGAGAGTATATGTTGGTTAATATGGAATTATTTTCTTTCTCTTCATTTTGACCATGGTTTACCTGGAGGTAAGGAGGGCCGTCATTGTGTCAGGGAAGGGGAAAGAGCCCTTGCTGGCTTAGACATTGACCCCCAAGCCCTGGCACCAGTGAACTCTGGATAGCCTTAGAAAATCCTTCCTTTTTTCTGGCTTTCAGTTTCCTCACTTATTAAATGAGGGTGTTATCTAGCTCATCTTGAAAATACTTTTATTTTGTGAGATAAAAGGTCACGGGGACCTGGGCCTCAAGATATTAGAATTTGTTGAGAATATAACTGATGAAAAAGAACAGTGCTTTCTGTTGGAATTACTGGTTTTGCTGTTATGTTTGAACAAGGGTTAAGTGGGTTGTATTCAGTTTAATGTAGTTCTTGGGCAAGTATTATTCATTCCTTAATTATACAACCATTTCAGAATAAACTTGACATCCCCAAGATCTCCCTACCTTTTTATGGCATTATCCCTCAGTAGTGAAGGACACAAGTATGTTGAGTGTATATGTGAGCATACATAAGTACAAGAAGAATGGCAAAGGAATGTTCTTCATTCTGTTTCAGTTAAGTGTCCTAATAGGTAAATCCAAAGCTTCATTCTGTTTCAGTTAAGTGTCCTAATAGGTAAATCCAAAGCTGCAGAGAGAAATCTAACTTTTCCTAAGCCCTAGGGAATTTTTCTCGAGTCCTACTCAATTGCAGTACTCTGAGGCTTTGGGGAATTTTTTTTTTTTTTTAACAAGAATTACATGGTTGGAATAGAGTGGGAACATATCACCTAAACTACACATCCTTAAAACAGCACTTTGTGTGATGAATCCTGTATATTTTCTTTGTTTGTATGTTTAAGAAGGAGGAGTTTAAATAGCAGCTTGGGATAAACATGGACCTTCGAGACTATTTGTTCCCATTTTGCTTCTAAGAAAACAGGTCGGGAAATAACTCTTGCCTGGATCTTCAAGTTGAGGCAGATTCCTGGTTTCTTTCAGGGTTCCCATTTTCTTTTGGGTTATCGATTATTTTGGGACAGCTTAAGGTTTAGAGGGACTTAGACACCTCCTTCTAACTCAGGTGCCTGGAGACTGACCCACCAAAGAATGTTTAAGAAATTAAGAACTTTTATGTAGAAATCTGCCCCTAGCTAAGGAACTAGTGAAAGTATATTTTTCCTTAAAAGTCACCAGGGTAGAAATAAATTGCTGAGAGAGGATCTTCTGAACCACAGAGAAGCATAGGTTAGATTTCTTTTAACACCTCTGATTATGCAATACCTCAGCTCTCTCTCAGTAGCAATATGCAAAGCATGACTGATACTTCTGTTATTTCAGCAGTACTTACTCTCCTTTTATAGAAGTGGATTGGAATTTTTAGACCTCTGGAATCTGATTCGGTAAATGTTCTCACCTCAGGCCAGGGGCCAAGGCTAAACAGTATTTTATGGCAACCTGTGCTTGGCACTAAGCAGGCACTATGGATTTTTTGTGACTAAAGACTGCAGACTTAACTAGTCACTATTTTATGCATTGGGAATTATAAAGTTTGTCATCCTGAAATATTAGAATTGATTTATTTTAAGTAAAAAAAAAAATGGTTTCCTTTGTGTGTTAAAGTATTACTAATGAGCCTTCCTGCCTGTTTTTCCTCCTTCCTCTTCTGTAGTATGTCGAGATTTTGCTGTCCTGGAGGACCACACCCTGGCTCACAGCCTGCAGGAACAAGAGAGTGAGTAATACCTCTCATTTATGCTCCTTCAGTTTTCTTTTCTTTTATATTTTAACTGGAAGCTTGAGGCTGGTTTCTCAGGGGTTAGGTAGGGAGAGAGCACAGTCACTTGTCTGTCCCCTTCATAAATCCTAAAGGATTTCTTTAGGCAAATGTTGCCTGGGTGATCAGTGAATTTTGGGGTATGTGTAAGTAAGACAGACTGCCAGGAATTAGTAGACTGCTTGCATCTTCAAGAGAAAAAGAGAGGTTTGAACCTTTTTCTTTGCCTTGTGTTATAGGAGGGACACAAAGGTTATAGACTTAACTGAAGTGCATAGAATAAATCTGTTCTTGCTCCTATGATGGGGAGCTGAACAGCTTTCTCAGGCAACCATAGTATAAATGAGATCACATTGTGGATTTTTCTGAATCTTTTTTTCAGTGTAGTGATGGAAAGTAAATCTAAGCAGTGCATGTTGTATTAAAGTACATATTTGTGAATATATGATTTGTGAGTTATTAATTCACATGTCAATATGAAAATTAAAATATTGAAAAGTGAAGTTAATAGAGTGACAATATGTAGTAGTAGAGCACTAGCCCTCGCTCTAGAATATTTGTGTAGACATCCTAGTACTGCCACTTTGTTGCCATGTGACCAAAGACAAATTATTTAATCTTTTTGATCCTCTTTTTGCTTAATGGAAAAGTGGGGTAATAATTCTTTTGCTCTCTATTATACATTGTTGTTGAGACAATAAAATGAAGTGATGGATGCAAAGCTATTGTGTTACAGTAAAGCTCTTAAGATTATTGTGACATTTATTACTAACAAACCAAGGCATTGTAATTCCTGTCCTCAATCTCTTTGTTCCAGTTGAGCATCATTTGGCATCAAACGTTCAGCGGAACCGTTTGGTCCAACATGACCTCCAGGTTGCTAAGCAGCTCCAAGAGGAAGATCTGAAAGCCCAGGCTCAGCTCCAGAAGCGCTACAAAGACCTGTGAGGATGTGGGAGAGGGAGGGGTAATGTCAAGACTGGTTTTCTCTGTGGAGCTAGCAACCAGGGCAGGGAAGAAGGAGACTACTTCTGTACCTCTGATTCTTTTGCTTATGAGATTGCAAGTCTTACAGTGGATATCCAACTTTTTTTTGATTTGAAGGTTTTTCATTGTTGTTGGAACACTTGACCAGGTTTAAGACATGTGGATGATGGTGTGAGTTCTAACATTTTTAGCTGTATGACTTTGGGCCAATTATTCAACTTCTCTGAGTTTATTTTCCTTACCCATAACATGGGGGAAAATAACCTCTGTCCCCTCTGCCTCATAGTTTCTTAGGGGGAACCAGTGAGATAGTGGACATCAAAAGGCTTTATGGGTTGTGTTCGTCCCTTTACTGTGTTCTAGCTGCATTTGCTGCTCTTACTTTACCTGCTTTTCAGTACATAGCCGAATGTTCTGAGATGCTCTAAAGTGTATACTCAGTTATCTTCGTAACTTCAGTGTCTGACAAAAGTTCTCTCTCATTAGCCTCCTTTAACTGACAGATAAATGGAAATTATTATTTCTCAGCTTTCTTTTGACACAGTGACGTATTCTGTTTCAGTGTTATAAACCTCCTAGGATACATTTCTTCTTTGAGAGTGGCTCTTACATCCTAAATCTTTCAGGATAGATTTAACCACAGATACTGTGTTGAGGAGGAAAGGGTAAAGGAAAAATGGAAGGAACACCTTAATTTACTTTAGTGTCATATTCAAGTGAAAAAGGAAAGCCAGTCATTTTTGCTAACTTACAGGAAGGGTTTGTCTTCCTGTTTATTATTTGTAGAGAGGACTTTATTAATCATTTCGTTAAGCTTCTTTATTTTGTAAATAAATACTTTTATTGATTCATGCTAAATTTAGCACCAGGAGAGGAGACTAGAGATACAAATAGGACAACTTTTAAGGGCCTCAGGAAAACACCTTGGGCATTATATATCTGGAGATATATGCATGAATCACAGAGAATTGAAATGTAAGTTTCATGCCTGTTTAGAGAGAAGAGACTGGGAAAAGCTTCAGGAGACAGATGATATGTTTAATCTGAAACTTGAATGTTAATTGGAAGTATATAGTGATTTGGGGAAAACCATGGTAGCCAGAAGGAGCAGCATGCATAAGGGCAGCAGGTAAAAGGACTTAGAAACTCATGTTAGCTACAGAAAGTTCAGTATTGCTGGAGTAGAGAGTATAATTGGGGCAGAAGTAGGAAGTGAGGCCAGAAAAGTAGTCAAAAGCAGGACCAAAAGGGTCATGATAAATTATGTTAAAGAATTCAAGTTTTGTATATTTTATATTATAGGGAATAGAGAACTATTGGAGTAGTTTTAGATTTTCATTTTAGGATCTCTTCTTGGAAATAGGTGTGTAAAGGCTTAGAGCGGGCAAGATTTGAAGGCAGCTGTTGAACAGTGGTCAAATTAAGAGATGACGAGGCTTGAATGAGGACCTTGGGGTGATAGAGATAGAGGAAGGAGATGATGAGGCCTAAGTTGAAGGTAATGATAATGGAGAATAAAGAGGAAGAGAGATACTTGAGATGTTCTGAGGCTCAGTGTCACAGGTTAAGGTGAGTACCAAAGCTAGAATGTTGTAGAGTTCTAAATTCATTGTTCTTTACATTTATTAGAATTATTCACAATTATCTGTTAGAAAGGCCAGTTCTGAGGTTGATGCAGATATTTAAAATCCTGAGTTAGGTTCATAACAGTGTAATGAACTTATTCAGAACTTATCAAGAGAAACCATTCAAATATAAATCAAGAGTAGAGAGTGATATTTTGTAGGTCCTAAATGAGAGAAGAAGCAGGTATTACATTTCTGCCTGAGACTTCAAGGGTTTGGAATTGTTCCTAGATTAAATAAGTAAGCTAAAAGGGAAGTCTTTCAGTTCACTACCTGGCAATTTTGATAGCTGGACATCTTGGGAAGGATGAAATGCTGCAGTTTTTATTGAACCTGGAACCTTTTATTCAGTCTGGATACCGGGACTGCTATCCCAAGTCAGGATTTTCGCCTGTTTACTACTGATTTCTCAGTTTCGTTTTCCCAGGAGTCGGTATAATTAGCTGACTGAACCAGAGCTGGAACTTCTTGGAAATATGTTTTGAAATCATTAAACTCAGATGAAAGTTCACTTTTTAATTTTCTGTACCAGGAGATACATCTTCTGTGTCACTTGTGACTTTTAACACTTCGTTTAGTTTTGCCTTCTCTGTGGTGCTTCTGCTTTCTTCCCACTTATTACATTGAGTGTAATTATCAGTCACTTAGCTCTATATAGATTTTACATTAATTTGGGAGGTTCAGCTAGAGTCTTGAATGAGAACAGAAATATAGAGAGGCCTTTGAAAACTAAGACCAGGTTTTGTGTATGATTCTTATTATAATTAGTGAATGAAAAGAAAATATATAAGAATTGCTCTGATTAGATTTATGTTTATTTTATTTCTTTGGTTTGAGTAGGTAAGAATACTATGATATTAGACCTATAATGTGAAGTCACTAAGTGTAAACTTTTTTATAACTTATAAAATGGCGTGACAGAGAATGATTTGTGGTTATTAGTGGTAGAGGCAGGACCAGAAAACAGGCCTCAGGAGGGTGAAGTGAAATGGTGGTACAGAAGAAGCGTGGAGCTTTCGGTTGCTGGGTATGATGATCAGATTTCAGCTCTACCACATATTTTCATTGTGATCTTGGGAAAATGATTTAACTTCCCTGGGCCTTAGTTTTCTCATCAGTAAATGTGACAGTGTCAGCCTCTTTGCATCTTTATCTTGAAGATAAAGTGAGAAAAATACGTACTTCTCATAGATTGAGTATTCAACAAATTGTATGTATTATTTTTAGGAAATACATTATTTTTTATTTTCCTTATTCATGTTTTCACCTTTGCTTTTTAGTGAACAACAAGACTGTGAAATTGCTCAGGAAATTCAGGAGAAGCTGGCTATTGAGGCAGAGAGACGACGCATTCAGGAGAAGAAGGATGAGGTATAACTTAGTTACTGCCCCTCTCCCTTATGGAGAAAGAGGTGCTCAGCTTTAGAGCAAATACTTCTTGTAGTCACGGGCTCAATGAAGGATTGCCGAATGGGAAGCAGAATGCCTCTTTGGGCTGCATTTTCCTCTGTGGACCATGATTTATACCCTCTTGATTATGTAAGTGGTAAAAGTCTTGAGAGATGATAATGGATAATTTCACATATGATGTGAGTTAGTTTCCTATGACTGCTGTAACAAATTACTCCTGCAAACTTGGCTTAACACAAATTTGTTGTCCCAAGAGTTCTGGAGGCTGGACGTCTAAAATCTGAAGTGTTGGCAAGGTCATGCAACCTCTTGGGAAGGATCCTTCCTTGCCTCTTCCTAGCTCCTGACTCCTGGCAATCTTTGGCATTCCTTGACTTGTATCTGCATCACTTCAGTCTGCATCCATTGTCACATGGCCTTCTTCCCTGTCTGTATCTTTGTATCTTCTTCCTACAAGGACATCAGTCATTGGATTGAGGACCCGCACTAATCCAATATGACCTCAGCTTAACTAATTACATCTGCAAAGACTCTGTTTCCAAATAAGGTCACATTTGGAGGTTTGGGTAGAAATGAATTTGGAGAGGGGGCACTATTCAGCTTACTACAAGGTGTCTGTGCCTGGGTTGCTGGTTGTTCTTGCAACATTAGAGAGAGCAGACTTTGAGTGGAACCTGAGCAGGAGGCAGGGAGTACTTGTTGGGAGAGGCCAGGAGCAGGCATTGCTCTCATTCTTTTTCTTAAAGGTTTCACTTTCCTATGATCTGTTGGTTAAAAAACTTAATCATTTTGATTCTGTATATATATTTAAGTTGTATTGTTAAGGCTGAAAATGACTAAAATTAGCAATAGTGTTTGTTTTGTGAGAAGACTTGAATTTACCATTAGCTGTTATTTCCTTTTGTGTGTTATATTTTCAGCACTTTCTTTTTTTTTTGAAAAAAAAAAAAAAAAGGGTTTTGCTTCATTCCCCAGGGTGGAGTGCAGTGGTGTAAACACACTTCAGTCTCTGCCTCCCAGGCTTAAGTGATCCTCTCAGCCTCTTTAGTAGCTGGGACTTATAGGCACACACCCCCACACTTGGCTAATATTTTTAAATTATTTTTTTGTAGAGACGAGGTCTCACTATATTGCCCAGGCTGGTTTTAAACTCCTGAACTCAAGCTATCCTCGTGCCTCAGCCTCCCAAAGCACTGGAATTACTGGCACGAGCCACTATGCCTGGCTTAGTTTCATCAATTCGTATGAACAATTTACTTCGTTTTACATCGTTTCTATACTACCTGCTTTCACACTTATTATGCTGTCCTTGGTCACTGTCTTGCTTTATAATAGAGAAGAAATTGATTTATCATTTTTTATAGCTTGATGACAATATGGTTTGTTATGCAACCAGAAACACTTTTGAGGGTTATAAGAATGCTGTTAATAATTACATAAACTGAAACTGTACTGGGCAAACTGGTGCTTACGATCATCCTGTTAAATAGATATGATCAGGGTCATCAGTAAACAGCCTACATACACTGCTACTCCTGCTGAGCCACTCACTCTAGTTCTATAAGACTTCTTGTGCAATGCCAGATGAATGTGAGACACCTGGTATGAGGGTATTGAGTAGTTTCTTCAGGAACAAATCATGATCGTGTGGTAATCAGAACTGCAAATAAAAATTAAGGATTATTTTTGATACTTCCTGTAATACACAGGAGGCTCTTTCTTAGTATTCGATGTGTTGCCTCTTTATACTAAAGACTTTGCTTCTGGGATGACTCTAGGAACTAAAAGAAGTGATTATGCTTTGGAGACAGGAGAGCTTCTATTTAAGATACCAGAATAGTGAAGTTGGCTTCTTATCAATGCTACTGCTGTCCTGTGGTCTTTTTTGTTTTTATTTAGGGAAAAACAGGATAGAAAGAGAAAATGAAACACTTTATTTTAATTATGTAGACTCTAAATAGTAATCATAGTAAGTAATCTCATGGCAATACTATATAAAGTAAACAGTTTAGTGATTAACTCCATTTTTCAGATGTGGAAATTAAGTATTAGAGAAGTAACTGACTGATTCCAAGTTATAATAAAATGCTAGAGAAGTGTCTGTACCATTCAGGTCTGCGGACTGCTTCTGACTTTGATGTGCTGTGGCATGCATGAAACGTGAACTTTGGAGTTCCACTGACCTGGCTTTGAATTTTAGCTCATTAACTATTTCACTGTGTGATTTTCAGCATCTCACTTAACCATGCAGAACCTCAGGTTCCGAAATGGATTGAGTCATGGTAGCTGTATATACTCTAAAGGGCTGTTGTGAGATAAATGAGATAATGTACTTGGGGCCTCTTGTACATGTTAAGTTTATAATTGCCCTTTCCTTGATTTCTGTTATAGAGAGATATGTGCTACATAGGGCAAAATTAAATAGGCCTAAGGGTGTTTCAGTATGGTGTGATTTGAGAAGTCCTCAAGTGTTTACTTACTTGCCTTTGTAGGCCATGCACTAGCTTGCCCTCAGTAGAGTGGAAAAATTCAATGAGAAATACTAGACAAGTTTTTATAAACTTCAGACTTTTTGACTTTTCCACTTATGCCTCAGGTGAGAAGATAGCTACTGTGCCAAGGTGTTTTTTTATGATAGAAAAATGTGACCTCTCTGCTGACTAGTATGTTGTCAGTATTTAATGAAGAAAATTTGCATGAGTAAAACTTGCCATTGAAGGATATATGAAAATGCTTGTTTATTTTAGTCTGTTGGTAACAGGGTGCCTGAAAGGGAGAGGAAACTAAAACTGAGATGATAGTGCTAATTCTTCTGGCCAATTTTGGAAAAGAATTGCTTGTTACTCATGAGCTGTCTTAGTTCCTTTTTTTTTTTCCCTTCCCGCTCAATGCTCTTCTACTTCCCAAAGAGCCTACTTGGTTAATTAAGTACTCATTCAGCAGCAGGGCTGTGGAAAATCCCTTCCTGGGTTTCCACCCAGATCTCTTTCAGAGATTTTTTGGATCAGTTCTCCTGGGTAGTAGTTACCACCACGTGAATACCGAATGTAGAGCCTGAGAACCTTTTTCTTTTGGAACAGCTAGCTTTATCATGGTATAATTTTATTGTGTTTGTTAACAAAGCACAGATATAAGGAAGGTGGCATTTCCATGCAGGAGACAGATGTAGAAAAGTTAAAAAAAATTTTTTTTTTTTGTCTTATTAGCTTTGTGAACTCTCCCCTTTTTCTTCTTTACTTTCTTGCGCTCTCTGTCTTGCTTTCCTATCTATTTATTTTTAACTCTTTTATATAGTTTTTTGAGTGTAGTAGTTGAGTCCCCTCTAGACCCTATGGAAGGTGCTTGTAGACTTTGGATATGCTGGACTGTATAATTTTGTGGCTAATAAAAGTGGGATAATCAGTTAATTTAACTTATTCTTAAACTCTAAGAGTATGTGTGTACTTATGTACATGACCAGGTGTGTGTGTGTGTGTGTGTGTGTGTGTGTTTAAACCTAGGTTTAAGATATATGTGAATGTACACCTATTTTAGGGAAAAACTTCTTTTTTTTCTTAAGTAATCATTAGCACGGCCAAACATGTCATGAAAAGTTTGTGGCACTAGTTTAACAATTTGAAGCCCTTTATCATATAAACTGCTCAGAAATAAACTTAGTAACCAATTCACATTAAAAAAAATGAATCTGGTATGAACCATGGTACTTAGCACTCTTAAGATTAGGATTTCATGTTCTGAAAGAATATTTACACATACTTTGGTAATAGAGGTTAGATCAAACAGCAATACCATTTAGCTATTAAAATTTTTTCTATGTTTTAAGCATTGTAAAAATTAATTTATATGTATATATGACTAGAAAGGGAAATGGGAGGGAGGCTTCCTGTTGAGGTCTTTCTCTCTTCTTATACTATTATACTGATGTTTTTACATACATAGAATTGGTATTTTCCTGCTTTCCAAGTTTTATCAAACAACACTTTTGGATTTATACCTGTCTTGACATTCCTACCAAGTTGGATGTTAATATGTTGCTTGCTAGTTAATAAAGAAGTTTAGCAATTAAATGGAATGATTTTTTTTTCTTTCTGACAGTCATTTGACAATCCTTTTTTTTTTTGAGGCAGGATTTTGCTCTTGTCTCCCAGGCTGGAGTGCAGGGGCGTGATCTCAGCTCACTGTAGCCTCCGCCTCCTGGGTTCAAGCAGTTCTCCTGCTTCAACTTCCCAAGTAGCTAGGATTACTGGCACCCGCCACCATGCCTGGCTAATTTTTTGTATATTTAGTAAAGACGGGGTTTCAGCATGTTGGTCAGGCTGGTCTCGAACTCCCGACCTCAGGTGATCTGCCCACCTTGGTCTCCCAAAGTGCTGGGATTACACCATACCAATGGCAACAATCACATTTTTAAATCACCTTTTGATTGTTTTTAAATTCACCGTTTGCTCATTTTAAAATGAGTACCATTGGACGATAGGGGTGAAAACTTAGAGAAGTAACCCTTAATCCCTTACATATTTATATGATCTAAATCATGTACAGGTTGAGCATCCGCAACTCCAAAATCCAGAATGTTCCAGTGAGCATTTTCTTTGAGCATGATGTCTGTGCTTCAGAAAATTTCAGATTTTGGAGCATTTCAGATTTCAGATTTTTGGATTAGGAATGCTAGCTCTACCTGTAAACCACAAAAATACCTCAAAGAACTCAACACTATGTTTCAGTCATTTGTCATCCACTTGGGAAAGATGTGTGGGAATCCTCTGGGTGCTGCTGCACCTTGTTTATATTAATGCTTCTCTTAGAGCCAAAGCAAGATAAGAACTTTAAGGATGTTTACCATATATACCAATACCCTACTGGTCATAGCATTGTTCTTTAAAGCTAAATAATCTGGCACAGGGCACATGTCTGGCCCACTGAAGGGAATCACTAAGACTATGTTTTCATTAAAATTGCCTTTCTCTAGTATTCTAGAGATCCTTAACTCATTCCTTTCTTATGGTTATAGTTTGCAATTTTCCAGAGTTGTGTAAGCTTGTGTAACAGAAGAGAGAGGTACAATGGTAAACTCCCATTTCAATTAATGTATTTACTAGGAAGTCTTCTGTGGAACTGGGTTATTTTTACATATTAGCCCAGAAGTCTATCTCATTAATTAAAATGTAACTAACAATGACCTTAAAAAGGCTTAAGAGTTCATTTAGATTTGTTTTCCCAAGTTATGTTATGTAGAATGTTAATTACCTGACTTTTTAAAAATTATAAACAAAAGCTTCTAAAATAAATTTGGAAAATTATAGGTTATGGGAAGATAACAGGTTTTTTTTCTTTCAATCAAAGTTTTAAAATTTGCTAATGTCCATCTTAAAGAGTTAGATATGCTACATGCTTTCTGTTGAAAGCTGTGTTTTTTTTGGAGAAAATTTTGACACCAGTGTTCTCAGCAACAGGCTTGGGAAGTACTGTTCTAGACTTACCATTAACAGTAAGGAAGCACCTTTAACAGTACGGAAGCTGAGGACCAAGGGGATTGTTTATATTAAAGCTGACTAAGCTGGTTAGCTACATCCAAGTACTGTGACTAATAATTGCCATCTTCAGCTTGTTTCAGGGGGTTTATATTAAAATTATCTAACAAAACTCATTGCATTATAATGTTGGAAAGCAGGGAGAACGGACTTGTACTTAACCTCAGCTATAATATAGTGTCAGTTTTCCATTGAATTTTTGTCCTTTCCTTCCTCAAGCCTAGCAGACCTTTTCTTTTTTTCTTTTCTTTTTTTTTTTTTTTTTTGAGACGGAGTTTCGCTGTTGTTACCCAGACTGGAGTGCAATGGCACGATCTCGGCTAACCGCAACCTCCGCCTTCTGGGTTCAAGCAATTCTCCTGCCTCAGCCTCCCGAGTAGCTGGGACTACAGTCACGCACTACCATGCCCAGCTAATTTTTGTATTTTTAGTAGAGACGGGGTTTCACCTCGTTGACCAGGTTGGTCTCAATCTCTTGACCTCGTGATCCACCCGCTTCGGCCTCCCAAAGTGCTGGGATTTTAGGCATGAGCCACCGCACCTGGCCAAGACCTTTTCTTTCAAAAAAGAGCTGAGAGCTTAGAAGAGCAAAAAGGGTTGGGTGCTAAGGTGTATGATATATTATGATAACTATTATTTTTTTACTTGATTAAAAGCACTTTCTTTGACTAATACATTATAAAGATGGGTCATAATTCATTTTTCTCTCCTGGTTCTTTATACGGAGAGAGTGGTGTATTACTGTGTATCCATTAGGATTAAATTCAATAGCAGGAAATTAGTTATAAGCAATGATATGAGTAGAACTCTGAATTTCTAAGACTTTGATGGAAAAACTGTCTCCTAAATCTGAAAGTTAAAATTAATCTGTTTTCTCTTACAGTTCAAGTCAGACATGGTTTTAAGAGAAACTAGGAGAGAAATAGTCACTACTAATTAATATGAACTTTGGGGGAAGCTTCAGTTGTTTATCTGTACAATGGAAAGTTTGAACTATTCAGTCTTAAAGCCAAATGTCTTTGACTCCTTACTGTATCATTTTAATAAAGCTGTGTTTCCCAGGTCCGTGGAGCATAGTTTAATAATTTCTCCTGGAAGTTGGATCTGACAGTTTTCCTTTATTATTTTTTCCCTCAGTTATAGCAAGGGAAATTTTTGTTTACTGTGAAGCAAACCACTTAGGAAAATACAGTTTTAGGTGGTTAGTAAACGTACAGCTCAGGAAAATGTTTACATTTTTTTCCACTTCTGTAGTAAATGTTATAGAAATTTGGGAAATTGTTCTGTAACAAATAATAGTTTTTTGGAGAACAGGCTATCTGTCCCGTTCCTAATCTGTCCCGTTCCTATCTCGCTTCCTGATTGATACATTACTTTGTAAAACATCAAAGCTAAAGAATCTGGCACAGGGACTGGCACCTGATAGACACAGGTTTGTTAAAATGATACAGTAAGGAGTCAAAGGCATTTGGCTTTTAAAAAGATTGAATAGTTCAAGCTTTCCATTGTACAGATAAAGAATTGAAATTCCCTCCAAATTCATATTAGTAGTGGCTATTTCCCTCCCAATGTCTCTTTAAACCACAGCTGACTTGAACTGGAAAAGAGATTCATTTTAACTTTCAGATTCGGGGATAGTTTTTCCATCAAAGTCTTAGAAATTCAAAATTCTGTTCATGAAAAATACACTTGTGTTAAGTAGGATTATGATATCTTTTACCTTTCATTCTGAGTTGCAGCATTTTGTGAGTGCCCACTTTAGTGTCTGACAGTATTGCATGGGCATTTACATAGATTATTTATTAAAAAATGTATATATGTGTCAGGTAAAAGTGTATTAATGGTACATTTTAAGTTAGTATTTGGCATAAAGTCAGATTTGTAAGGCTATTTTGATGAATGGTAAAAAACAGCTGAGGATATGGCTAAATACTGCTAATTTACCTAGATTCAGTATACAACTTGTTTCTGCATAGATAACAAAAAAAATTGATTCACTTAAATTTTCTTTTTAAACTGTATATTGCCATCTTTAGTGTATTCTTCATTTGGATTTATTTATAAAATTTGAAGAAGAATAGTAATTATTGCTTTAAAGTTACAACATTAACATGTAGTACTTCTTGTATTCCTTATTAATGGTAAGTATAAAGAAGTAGGTACCTCAAACTAACAATGATTGTTATTAACATTTATATCAGTCAGTGAGTGTTCCCATATTTATATGAGCCTTTAAGAATCTGATGATAGCGACAGACTTCTCTCCTTAAAAGTATACATGAGCATATAAGTTTATAGGCTATTTTATGGGGCTTTGATAGAAATAATCTTCAGATTTAGAACATTGTTAGTCTGCAGCTCAAAACTTTTAATAACCCGTCTTCCCCTACCTTGTAGACTCCAGACTTCTTAAGATTGTCTAAAAGGAGTTCCTGTGATCCAGCCTTGGATTGTTTTTCTAGCCTCAGCTTTTTCTGCAACACTCCATATCTTATGTTCTAATTGAACTATTGGCTGTTCCATAGAGAGGTGCCCATTAAAATGTTCATAACTTTGCTGATGTTTTCTGTTTTGACTTTGCCTATTGGAATTCTGTTCTTTGTTCAAAGCCTAACACAGTGCAAAATCTCGTACTAATTTCTTTAAGCAAAAATAATATTCCTTCTTTTGTAGTCCCATGGACATTTTAACCTTTCTGAGGCATTTAGAATTTAATTTTATTGTAGTTATGTTTTGAAAAGTTTCTATGAAATTTTTGTTTTCATAAAGGGATGATCATCTTTTTGGGAACATTGTGGAATGTTATTCATCATTCTGTCCCTCACAGTGCCTCTCATTTAATAACTGCTAAAACTTTGCCTGGGGATGAACAGGTGGGAGACAGAAGGAAGATTGTTTTCTCTTTTTCAGTTAAGACAGTGGTATTCTAATGCAAAGCTAAATCAAATTCCCCATAAAATTCTTTTCAAAAGTTTTAAAATTAAATTATAATTTATAAAGTTTTGTAGATGACTATATCCTGCCCCATCTAGACTTAGTGAATCATCATCTTGAAAAAGGGCCCACCAATATGTATTTTTAAAAATTCTGTTGTGTAACCTGCTTTAGGAAGTACTCAAGTTTGTATATCTTCATATTATGTTAGATATAATTTCAGTTAAAAAAGCCTCTCTCACTTATCTAGATTATGTGCCACTCCTGTTGAGCAATCATCTGGCATTTGAAGAGCATGAAATTAATGTCAGAAAGTCTAGAAAGCCATGGACAGAGCACGTACAAACTTGGCAGTGAGATGTCAAGCCCCCACCATAGGGAGTTTGTTCATTCTTCAGTAATGCGTATTTTCATTCTCTCTTGTCTTTGCAGGACATAGCTCGTCTTTTGCAAGAAAAGGAGTTACAGGAAGAGAAAAAGCGAAAGAAACACCTTCCAGAGTTTTCTGCAACCCATGCTTATGCAGATAGTTATTATTATGAAGATGGAGGTAACAATTCCTGCATCATGATCTATTCTATCCTTAGACTCAACCATAAAACACTCCTTTAATTTTTTCCATAAAGTGACCTTAGGGACGTGGGAATGTTTCTCTTATCCCCAGGCACTGGGTACATTTAGATATGTGACAAGATTCTATTTGAATCTAATAAATTCATGGTTTTTTGGGGGGTTGTGTTTTTGGGACAGAAGACGGATTCTTGCTCTGTCGCCCAGGCTGGAGTGTAATGGTATGATCTTGGCTCAGTGCAACCTCTGCCTCCTGGTCTCAAGCAGTTCTCCTGCCTCAGCCTCCCAAGTACCTAGAATTACAGGCATGTGCCTCCATGCCTGGCTAATTTTTGTATTTTTAGTAGAGATGAGGTTTCACCATGTTGGCCAGGCTGGTCTTGAACACCTGACCTCAAATGATCCACCTGCATCACCTTCCAAAAGTGCTGGGATTACAGGCATGAGCCGCCACTCTCAGCCTTATCTGTTTGATTGGACAACCAGAGCCACTTTTATGACTTAAAATTTGAATATGATTTTGTAAGAATTGGCATACATTCTTTTAAACTTTGGTGACTTGGAATGCCTTAGTATATTCTAACCACATAAAATGGGGTGTGGAAAATGGTGAATGAATCTCTGGACTTAACCTTTCTCAAGAAGTCTGGGCAGTACTGTTTGAAGCAGCAAATTGTATGAATAAAGAAGGTATACCATGCATCAGTTACTGGGTAACAAAGTTTTTTTCTATGCTTTCTTGTCTCTTAAACCTATGCCAATGGTTTAGCCTACTGATGACAAACAATATTAACTTTTAAGATTTACATGTTTATTTTTTCCTTTTGATCCTTTCTTTGCTATTTGACTACCATATAGAATAATTTCTGAAGGAGTAATTCCCTCAGTTTTGCTTCTCTGGTGCCTGCTTTGCAGTTATGGTGGTGGTGATGGTTTGGTGGTGGCAGCTGTGGTGATTCTTTATCTTAAAAATGTGTTGGGAAAGAGTATTTGCAAGTATTGTTCAGTCCTTCTCAAAGATTTGTCAAAGTAAAGACTTTTCCTATAATTACAAGTGTCAGTATTTAATGAAATTCAGCTTAAAGACCAATACTTAGGATAGCAAGTGAACAAAACCTAAAGGCAACTTTTAGAGAGTAAAGATTTTTAAGGTCAGTGATCCTAAATGGCCCTGCAAACCAGTTATTAGCTGCTTTTTTGTAATTCCATTATAAAAGGTAAGTATATGTTTCTCTAATGAGTAGAATGAAAGCAGTGTATATTGATGGGATTATTATAGTTTGAGTATAATTTTGCCCAGTAACATTTTTTGCTCTAAATTTACTTTAATGAGTAGAGCTCAGCTCCGTGGCCTTTTTAGTAAGCAGGATGATGCTCAGTTTATTGCTTGATGTGTTCTTCCTCCATATTGAAAACATTCGGCACTTATTTGATAGCCATTTTCTTTATGCTGGTTTTTCTGATGAAACTATATATTATGTCATTTAAAAAGAAAAATTATCACCACATTTTGCTGTACTAAAGATCAGAAAGTAAAGTGTTGCTCTTCAGCGTCAATTTAAAATCTTAGAAATGTGGTCTGGTTTTTTTCCCCCTTTTAAAAAAATGTGTTTTGGAGATACATTCACTGTAAACTTATTATTATAAACTATTCAGTCTATAAAAACATTAGAATGACAAGTAATTAAATGCATTAAAGAATTAATTTTAGCCTTCCCCTCTTAAAGCTTTATACTAACTTGAATTGAGACTCAAACCTGTTTTTTTGACCAGAGTACTGTCATCTTGATTTGTTTCTCTAGGGCAGGAGACTATGTTAAGAATTTAGTGGTTTTTCAGGAACACATAAAAGTTTTTCAGAGCCTTTTATGTTTATTTTAATTACTCTCATAAATTGGTAGGGAGTGGCATATATGCTTGTTTCTTTGAGGGGAGAGGGACTTTGAAGGTAGTATTGAGGAGCAGGAAATGGTGACTTTCTGAGCACGTGTGTGTAAATACTGGAATTTCTCTTGCCTCAGCTGTGTTCTTGGGAGATTGTATATTGTTGAAGGTGGGGTCCTCATTAATCTGCCCTTGTGTTAGACCAAGTTCAGTTCCACAGAAACCATATTACAATTGAGCTCATATTTACAAAGAAATCCTCTGTTCTTTGCACTGGTCCTTTCCCAACACATCTGGGATAATCTTTAATTATAATTCTCTGTATGTCTTCGTGTATCTACTTGATTTTTGCCTTACTTGCATAGTAATCACAGTAAATCATTACAGAAATTGTCAATTTTTCAGCTTTTATGTAACTTGAACTTTAATATGTTATCTATTAGAATGATTATTTAAAGATTTTCTACAAATTTGAAATCGTTTAAAACATTTGTCAAATTTATATTGGCTCTTAGATGATATATATTATTTATTAGTGAATCCATGTTTTTCTTTCAAAGCCTCTTATTGCAGTCATATTAGTGATTTTTTTTAAGTCATGGTGTTTGGAGTCATAAGACTGTGGTTCAAGTCCTCTCCCCTCCTTAGAACAATATTAATCTTAATAAAGTTATGTACTAAATAATTAAAATGGAGATTATAAAAGTAAATCCTTCATTTGGTTGTTGAGAAGATCAAATAATGCAATTTTGGTGAAGTGCTTATTGTTTATACATATATCAGTGTTATATGTTTATCATGTAATATTTTGTATTTCTATCTTATTTTGAAAGCCAAACATGGAAGCACACATAAAATGCATATATATGTAAAAATACATGTATGTGTGTATACATATATATGTATTATGTATTGGCATATATTATGTATACATACTGTGTATATGCCAATACATAATACATATATATATGTATTGACAGTGAGGGAATAAGTTATATTTGCCAAATAACTTGGTCTCAAGAAGCATACAAGTCTCAATCCTCAACTATACGTGATTTTAAAGCATTAAGACAGATTCCCCACCTCATCTTTTTTTGTCCCAAGATTTAAAGCTGTCACAGCAGACACATTTATTATTACAGAATAAATTTTTCCAGTCAGCTCTGTGAAAATGTAGTAACAGCTCTGTAATAATTCCTGCGACATATTTCCTAAAAGTAAAGCTACGAATATTAATTAACAATAGAAGGAATTAAAAATCATAACATCACAAATTCATGTCAGAACCCAAACCCTTTTTGTTTCTTTTGAGCTGGAAGGTGGACTTCACTTGTGAAGCACATTTTTAGTAACACTGTAAGCCATTGTTCCCTGGATATGGTCATCATTTAAGTAGCTGGTCTTTATTACATTAATTTACAGCAGTAGTCACTTGATTCTCTCCAAGTTTTTATGATAGACTTAATAGTTTGCTTAAAAGAGTGGATACTTTTTTTTATAATAAGGTAATTGTTCTGTTTCACTTTTGATTTATGTAAAATACAACGATAAAGATAAATACTTCTACAGACTGTTGAGAAAACAAATTTTGATTTAGGTTTATCTTTGGAAGCAAGCTTTGTTTTCTTCTGGAAAGCTCAAGAGGAAACAGTTTGAGGTTTTTAATGGAAACTTATGTCATCATTGGAACATTTAGCACATATTTCTTTCTTGCTCTATTTCTTTATCAGATTAATATCAAATGAAACAGTTAAAAAGAAAACATGTAAGTTTTTTATTTTCTTTACATCTCTTCAACTTATGGTAGCTCTTTCAAATGCATTCAGCAAGTGGTTGATTCCAGTGGGGAATCTTGGCTATTTTAGCAATTTTCCATGGAAGTGGAATTTTTTTGTTATTTCCAAAACATAGTAAAAAGTTCTAGAAAATGTTAAGATCAGCATATTCTTGCAAAGTGCGTATTAATTTACTGCCTTTGTCTTCATGGTATACTTATGCCTAAAAAAGACCTGAAAAAGCACTGTATCTGTGCTGTTTTTGAAGTTTCTGTTAAATTTGGGGACATATATTTAGCATATGTTGTTATTTTTTTTACAAATTTTTGTTCCATCAGGGCAACCCTTTTAAATTTTTTCTTTGTCAAGTTTCAACTAAGATTGAGAAAAGAGTTATCTAAAGATAACAGGGTCATGAACTCCAAATTCTCGTCTCCTTGATCCTCTTTTACATTGAATTGTAACAGAGGGCTGTTTTCTGAAGTGACTGAGTGTGTTTGCTCTGACCACATAAAATTGGCAAATAGAGGAATATAAAAATCTGTGGATCATTTCTCTGAACTCAGAGAAACTAGCAATACTCTGATACAGTTCTGTTGGCATTTCCAATAAGAATGTTTGAAAGCCTCTGTCTAAAATTACAAAGCTTAATGTTTTTGTTTTACGAAATTACTCTACCTCTACTTTTTACTCTATACTAGTTTCAAATTGGTTTATAAATATAGCTTAATCTCTAATAGCTATATTTTTGTTATTGGCAAATATTAAAGTGTTGTTAGCTCTGCCTAGTCATGATCAAATTCTTCTTTCACATTTGATTCACTTAATTTTAGTTTCTTACCTTTTTGGCTGTGTATCCAGAAATCTTCAGGTATGCATGGACTGTTTCAGTAATTCTCATTCCTTCTTTTCAATTTGTTAAGTCAAAAAAGCAGTTTTCTCCATTTTTAAAGTGTCTTAAACTGGGGCCCAGACTCTCCCCTGTGTAATGAGTTCATACTCTCATTAAATTAATTTGCATTTTTATTTTTCACATTCCTCTGCCTCCACTCAGACCAATCAAGGTCAAGGAGGGCCAGGGAATTGGGTTCTGGATTCTCAAGACCTTGTAGACTCCAAAGAGATGGAAAGACTGTGAAGCAGAAGAAGGAGAAACCAGAACATCCAATGGAGAACTTGGAAGAGCCAGAACAGCATTGTTCAACAGAGAGATCCCTGTCATCCTCTAGCTGGGGCGCAATGAGGGACAATCCCCAAATTAACAGTCAGCAGCATGAAAGAAAACGATCCACTCAGGAGAGGCTCCGGAGACCTCCACTTCCCATGATCAGTGGTGAAGTGTTTCTGAGCACTGAATATGATGACTGGGAGGCTAAGAGTAACCATCAGACTCGAAATTGGGAAAAACATTCTCAACACCAAGACCGACTTTCACCCAAGCCCTCACAAAAAGCAGGGCTTCAGTACAAGGAAGTTGTATATGGGAGGGACCATGGGCAAGGTGAGCACAGAAAAAGGAGACACAGGCCCAGGACTCCTCCATTCTCAGAGTGTGAGAAGCAGCTCCATCTCCATGACCCAGGTAAAAGAGGACAGTCATGATGGAAGTCCTGGTATCATGTACATACCTGCAAACCAATGAATTTAATAAGTATCTTAAGCAGCCTTTCTTTCTCTAAAGTTTGTGCTCATAACTTTGAAATGAATCCTAGAGCAATATATTATAAAATGTACACACTTAATCTCAGGTCTGTAAGAAGTAGGAAAATATTTGTAACTTTTCCCTTCTGTGAGAATGCACTGATTCCTTCAAGAGTTCTTCCAGGCCCAGATTGTATTAGAGGTAACCATTCCAGATACAGTTCTTCATTTCCCAAGACTGCATATCAAAGATTCTGATACTAAATCAAAACTCCTGAATTTCTGGTTTTACTTCAGTGAACCCAGAAGAGCTGATGAGCCTGTCTTGATAGTATTTGCCTAACCAAAAGGCCAATAGAGCTGAAAATACTATATTTTTTAGACCTCATCTTTCTCATTTGTAAAATGAGGAGTTGGATAGGCAGTCTTTTAAGAAAGTATTTTTCAAATAATATGTCTCGGTTCATTTTCATCAAAATCAGCTGTTAGCTAGAAATAGAAATTTCTGAGTTTCACATATATCTGGAGTGAGGCCTGGCAGTTTGGGCATGTTTTAGACCTGGAGGTTTGTAGATTCCTAGGAACTTTAAAATCATAACAGTAAGTTACTTTTTATGCTCTTAACTTTCTCCAGCTCTAACTCTACAGTTGGTGTTCTAAAGTGTCAGTACAGGTAAGTTCTTGGTACCTATATAGAAATGAGGTAGATATTACAGATAAACCTCAAATTTCTGGCACTCCTGAAGCTTAACTCAGAAGTCCGTCACTGACACAGCAATGGCTCTATTTTCTATAAACTACTGAGGTGATGTTTTCCATGTTTGTGGCTGTAGCACTAGAAATCGCAAAACCAAGGAGCCAGTCAAGTGCTATTTGTGGTCAGAGAACTTGTTTCTAGGTTGTAGATTCAGGTGAAGTTGGCTTTTCCTGTCATGTCATTTCTTATTAAAGGACTTGGTTAGGCAGAAAACTAAAATTTAGTTCACGAAGCCATTCTGAATAGCTGCCACAAATATTCTTGTCTTAGGTTTTGTACTTGGATTTCAACCAGAAAGATGGGTATGTAAACAATTCCAAATAAGATACACTTCATTGGGGAGTCTTTAACAAAGAGCTGTGGAAAATAGAGGAAAGTGTGATATAATCTATCTTGAGTAGGTTTATGGGGAAGTTATACCATTTTCAGGTTTAGAAAGACATTTTGAAGTTCCAAAGGTGTGGGGGAAATATGGAGGAAGAATGGTTGTACACTGACCTTTAGGGTTCTGCTTCTGTGAATCCGACTTTCAAGAGTGCCCTGAAGGCTAGTTAGGCTTTAATGGCTTTTAGCTATGCCCCAGGATATTTTAGATCGGCTTAGGAAGCATGACACTAAACACTGACTCACAGGCTCCACTACTGGAATTGCAAATGTTTTGTTGTGCTTTTTATTTTGCCAGTACAAGGGATTAAAAAACAGTGCTACCAGGCAGATATTAAAATGACAACAACACGAGCTGATTCCCATCTATCATTTTATGTTCAGCTTGCTTTTTACACTTTACCTTTCTAGCCTTTGTAGGCATTTGATTTTGTAACTCACTGGACTAGGTCAGAGGATTACATTACAATATAATTACTGGTAGTGGCATCTATTCTTGTGGTTGTAAAAGCACAGTTCTTAAAGTTGTTAGGACAGACCAAAGTTATATTTAACTTGATAATGGAGAAACTATCAGTATGACAGGGGGCTGGTTCGAAGAGTGTTTTCAGAGAGCAGCATTAATAGAATCAGCTGAAAAGGAGTGCAAAATAAAATTTTAAATTAAGTATAAGATAGGTTAACTTTCTACAGGGCAGTGAGTACCTAAACTTTCAGAGTTACTTCTCTATTAGATTATAAATTCTTAACAGCTTATCATTTTCTGCGGGTTAACTTCTAAACTCACAGGGCCATAAAATATTTGCACTGTTCTGTGAATTGTTAGTCAAATATACTGACATTCCCTAAATGTCACACTGGTTTATTACAAATATTCTTATATGATATAAAAAAGAAGCTATTATTTTACCTTATTCCAAGCTCAGAATAAAGTTATCTTGATATCAGTACTCAAACAATTTTATTCTGTAAATTTATTTAAGGTTGAAGTTTTGTGTTCATTTAGGGATATTCTTGTGTTCTCAAACCGAAGGATGATGAACAGAAAAAGACAAGGAAGTGTTAGATAAAGATATATATGGAACTTGAAAATACCACTCACTCGAGTTTTTGAAAGCTAGTTTCCAGAGTCTGTTTAGCATACTGAGATTCAGGAAGCTCATTCCTTAATTTCCTTCAGTTAATTACGTTTTTTAAAATTTTTAGACATCTTTGTTTTCTTAAATGATGGCCTTAAACTGCACTGTCTGTGAGGTTTTTATTCTATATCCTTAAAAAAATTCTTGTCCCCTTAGGTCTAGAGGACACTGCAGAGAATGGGCATCCTGACAATGCAGAAATTTAGTATTCCAAGCTGTGGGGATTTTCTACTTAATGAGATGTACACATTCCAGCAATACATCAAGGGTTTAAATAAACTGTTTCCCCTCTAAATATTTGGAACTGAGAGATATTCCTTCAGATTCTGACTCTTACTAAGTCATCATTCTCTTTTTAACTGCCAGAGGTTACAGTCTTATCACCCTGTGAAACCAATTAGACTGTTCAGTGGAATATTGTCTTTGGCAGAATTTAAAACAACGTGTCTTTAATAAAATTTAAAGTGAAATATCTTCTTGACTAATTCTGTGGTTTACCTTAGGAGGCATAAGAATGGAGAAAATTTGGTCTCTTGAAATTTGAGCACATCCCACTGTATTGTTTTACTGGTGGCAAAAGTGAAGAAGCTAGGCATGTTCCATAACCCTTAATTAGGCTTTGGGCTGCTTATTCAACTATCGTTTTTATCTGTAAGTTGGAATATGGCATATATATATATATATCAGACTCTCTTATCCACTGACATTGCCCAGTACTGAGTTCCTTACCTAATTTCATTTTTTTCTGAAATTTTCCTAGTTATGACTAAGCTATATAACTCAGAGAGCTTTATATTCTATTTACAGATGGTCCACTCTTGAGAGTATGCCATTGTTTTTTTTTGCTTTCTCAAACCACTCGGAAATCTAGATTAAGCCCAGCCCAGCATAAGACTTGGTAGCTGTAGAGATGATTTGAAGTGGTCTGTGCAATCAGGTTCTATTAGGTCTGAATCTAAGAAAGCCGGGTTTACTAGTCCGTCTTTGTAGGAAAGAGAGACGTTGAGTCTGTGGCTTCAGAAGCCACAGAAGCCAGGTTGAACATTGTGCAAAAAAAATAGGCTTCACAAAATACTTAAATTCTATCATTTGCCCAGTATTTGTTGCATTTTATTTTCCTTCCTTTTTAAAAAAATTAATAGCAAGTGAGTCAAATGTGAAACATTTTTATAAAAATTACTTTAATTTACAGTAATTTAAATGGACATAATACACTAAACCAGTGATTCCAATATTAATTGCAAGTAAGAATCAACTGGGAAGATTTAAAACAAACTTACCCAAGGACAGGTCACACCCAGGCTACTTAACTTAGAATCCCTGGGGATTGGGGCAGATCTTTTTATATGTATTCAAAGCACCCTCATGTGATTCTAGTATATAGCCCTGGTGGACAACCACTGGTATAGACAGACAGACAATCAGGAGTACATTTTCCTTCTCCTCTGACTAGTTCATTTACTGAAGTGAACTATTTCAGATGAGTAATCTTGTTCACTGTATTCAAAATTTCTATTTTGAATATAATACACTCACACTGTTGAGTAAAAGTTTAAAGTGAGAATTGCTTTATAGGAATAGATTGGAAGAGAATCTGTGGTCGTTTTGCTCTCGATATAGCTCTTATGTTTTATTGTCCCTAAAATTTAACAGTGCCATCAATCTGATCAAAGCTGTGGGGAAGATCTAAAGTAAGTGGTTTATTTACTCTCAGAGCAAAAGCCGTGGCAGGGCCACTTCTTGGCTAACAGGTGTCATCGCATGACTATCAGGCGATGCTGTTTCTGTTCCCTCTGAAGTAATAAGTATGCAGGCTGAGGTGAATGGGAAGAAGCCTCCCCTCTCCTCCATTCTTGACAGCTGAGCCTCTTTTAAACTCTGACTCTGTAATTTGCTTTTCATTAAATTCTTTCTATTTTCAGTGACTTTTTTTCTTTCACTTTGTATTTTCCAGGTCCTCACTTGCAACTTCTTACATAATTTTCTGCTGTTGCAGAAACTATGTGAGAGGGGAGTTTTTACCAGGAAGGTTTGGTTAGATATCTTTGTTTAAATGTATGCATTATCTACATTGCCACTTCCATTCCTAGGGCAAAAATATTTTAAGTGCACCCCACATTGAATTCTGGATTAGAGGTAATATTGTCATTGTTAGCTACTAAAGAAAATCTTCTTTATCTTAAATTTTGTAACTTCTCTGAAAACATCCTCAGTTTTTTATTACATTGAGGTTTTTTTTTTTTTATTGAAGGAATGAAGCCAAGAGCAACAAAAGAAGCTATATCTACTCCATCACGAGTGACCCACAGGGATCAGGAATGGTATGATGCTGAAATTGCCAGAAAATTACAAGAAGAAGAACTTCTGGTGAGCACATTTTTAAGGCAAAACTTTAGCTATAGTGATGGTTTTTTTTTCTGAATGCAGTCAATCTTGAGATTATATTAATAGTCCTCTATCAATTAAGAAACCTTTTTTTATGAGTGGAAAAATCAAGACAGTTGGAATAGAGTTATCCAGTTTTGCTTACCGAGTAAGGATTAACAATGAAGTTCATAGCCCCATCTCTTCATGAGTGTTCTCCATGACCCTGTTGGGGGATTTGATAAAAAGAGCTCCTGCTCTGGCTGGTGAAAGCATACCAACTGCTTATCAACCTCAGGAACATGAATCACAATTATTTTCATAAACCAGCTTATTTTATACAATATATTAAAAATAGACAACATAGATTCCAATTAAATTCTTTGTTTTTGTATTTTCAATAATCATAGGCTACCCAGGTGGACATGAGAGCTGCTCAAGTAGCTCAAGATGAAGTAAGTTAATGAATTTAGCTGATGCTCTTTGGAAATATCCCCGTATATTTCTGTCTGCAACTCTGCAGTTAGTGATGTTGACTGTATTTTGTTTAGGAAATCGCTCGACTTCTAATGGCTGAAGAAAAGAAAGCTTATAAAAAAGCCAAGGAGCGGGAGAAATCATCTTTGGACAAAAGAAAGCAAGACCCTGAGTGGAAGGTAGAGTGTGTTTTGTTTTTTTCTAATTAGAAATAAGAAATGAAAAGGGGACTCTGCTTTTAAGTTAAGCTCTGCAAATATATTTAGGATATATGGATATATAAATTATCTGTATTGCATATGTGAATCTGATTTGTGAAGGTTGCATCACCATGAAAAATCACTGAAGTTTGAAAGTAACTATGTAAAAAGTTACTGCTAAGATTGAAAACTCCTTCTATTCCCTTTAAGACTGACTGAAATGCAAGTGCTTCTGGTCATGAACAGTCTTAGTTTTCATATACAGTACTTTGATTATAGAAGAATGTAGCATTTTCACATGCTTTCATATTTTCCACAGTGACCTTATCTTCCCATCTCTACTCTTTATTTTTACATTATCTTCCATCTCTATCATGTACTTGTTTCTCTTTGCTTTGACATAATGTGGTTTGTGGCAGACTGAAAGATACAAACTTATCACCAACAATTATTACTTATGTCACAGTGAAAGACCTATCTAGCATTAGTTTGGACTGTTACCTTTCCCCTCATTGATCAGAAATAGTAGACAAAGTAAGTGGTTACTTCAATTCATTCTGTTGTAGCAGACTTTACTCATCAGTGACAGCACACAAGGCAATACTTTGGACCTCATGGAAAGACAGTTTTTCCTGATAGTAGTGTATAATGTAGAGAGGAAGACAAAGTGTAAAGAGCTAGCAAATAGAAGGTCAAGTTAGGTGGGAACAGAGCAGACAAATAGGGACAGAATTCATACAATACAGGATTTTTAAGGAGGGAGTTTACGGTAGACCCAGAAGAACGAAACCTAGGTTGTGTATACCTGATACAGTTGGTGTTTAGCACTGGTCTCTCTTGAACAAATTCCTCCATTGGGTTTCTGATCCCACTTCATAGTCTCAGTAATGGTTGTGAGGAAAAAGAAGGTGTAGAAACCCTGCTAATAGTATTGCTGTACTCTTTCCTGTTGCTCTGTTACCCACATCTTAGTCTAAAAACGATGAATGTATTATTCTCATATGAATCGTTGGTATTTTTCTCTGTCTTTTACCTAGTTCAGTAATTCAGGATTTTTTTCTAAAATACTTTTTAGTTAACGATTTCCAAATACTTCTGTTAAATAAATTAAGCCACAAATAATTGCCCAGGAGTTACTCAGATTCTTTGCTACCTTAACTAGGAAAGTGAAGGATTACACATCAAGCAGGTCAGAGGGCAGTGGCCACATCTCTAGCAAGTACCATGACTTCTGTAATTTTTATTTTATTTTATACAGTTCCAACTCTTGGAAAAGTGGACTTGAATTTCCCTCAGTTGACTGGCTGGAAATCAGCCTAAGACAGGTGTGCGGAAATAAGTTTGAGTGTACAAACCTGGATTCCGTAGACTCTGGGCGTCCCCTAGTTCTTGTCAGCTGCTATGGAGGTATTATGTTAATAATCAGTGGCCAAGCACTAGGGAAGTATGTTTATGTGTGTTTAACCCATTTCTCTGGCTGCACAAAGGCTGTCAGATGAGTGGGCTAAACATACCTTCCATATAGGTCCAAAGTATACCTTTGTGACTATAAGTTTTATACCTCTCAGTGGCCATATAGAAAAATATTTTATATTATTCAACTAAATATAATTAATCTGAAATTACTAAGGGAGAGCTTGGCATGATAAACATACTTTCTAAACCTAATCTTTCTCTTTGTTTGATGATTCTGGATTGTGTGTGTGCATTATTTTTGTTTGTTTGTATTTTTGTCTATAGCCAAAAACAGCTAAAGCAGCACACTCAAAGTCAAAAGAGAGTGATGAACCTCACCGTTCTAAGAATGAAAGGCCAGCACGGTAAGATGATACCTGAAAACGAAAATGAGGAATTTGACTTCGGGGTGAGTAAGGAGATGACAGTTGCCTGTGAAGAGTATTTGTATTTTGGAGAAGAGATCCAAAAATCTGCATTTGTGAGGTAGTGTCAAGACCTTCATGGTTATTTTCAAACTTTATTTTCCATCTCGAGTTGCACACATCAAATCAGAAATTTTACAAAAGTTGAGGTGGATAAGGAAGGATGTAACTTTTTGTTAGGACTAATTCCTGCCTCTGCGTTCACTGAAGTTATGCTTTTAGCTTGGAGAAGGAGCGTGATCTTTTTCCTAAAGAAAATTTCATGTTTTAAGTTTTTACCGGGTTTTATAGCCACACTGATGTGTCCATGACATTTACACATGCTCAAACTCATTTCTTTCTGAATCTCAGTGTCCTTGACAAAATCTTGAATCCTTGCAGACTGTCTAAATCCCACTAGACAAATAGCTGTTGCTGTGGTGTACATACTTTCTGATTTATCCCAAACAGTCATGGGTAATAGCTATGGAGCAGCTGTTGTCTTTCTGCCTCAAGTTGTCAACATTTAAGTCTCTTTGGAAGTAACCTTTTTTAAAAAAAATTGCTTTTGGTTGCCTTAAACATGATTGGAATGTGAAGAAAAAAATGTTAAAAACAAAAAGACAAAAGTAACTAAATTTAATATTTCGAAAACTCAGAATTACTCAAATTTGAATTTTGTTTCTGATTAGTAGTATTTATAATTCTTAAAACATAACGTTTATTTCATTGAATAATTGACACTATTGGTGCCACTCATTGCCCACGCTTAAGCTCCTAGATTTGTTTTCTTTAAGTGAATGTATTTAGTTTCCTTAGAAAATAATCCTCTATTTTAAAACTGATTTGCTTTCAGAAGATAAAAACCCTTCAGCAAATTACACTGGATTTGTATTGCTCTGAGAACAATAGTGGCATATTCTGTCTAGTTACATAAAATCTGTTTCTGTTGTAGCTTTTGGTTAAGCACCTGCCAAACATTTTTTAGAACTATATAGGTTAGTACATTCCCAAAGTATCCAAGTAAAAGCAGCAGCAGCTAAATCTGTTTCTCAGTAAGTAAATATATCTGGATTATTATCCTTTTTTTAATCAAATGAATTTAAATCATCCTTAGGCTTATTCTGCAGTCTTCCAATCCTTGGCTTCTTTAGAATACTAATACTGTTGACAGCATATATAATGGAACAGTCTTGGATGGTTTCTTAAGATGGTTTATAAAGTCTGAAAACAAGTTTTCGGAATGTAATAGATACTTTAGAAATATTTGGCATATTGAAAGAGTGAATAATCAAATGATCCTGTATTAAAAATGGCAATTGTAAATGAATGAAAAGTGACTTACAGCTAGTAGAGTAGAAATTTTTGTTTTTACCTTAGTGGAGCATTTGTCTTTAAATGTCATTTAGAGGATTATATATATGACAAAATAAAGAATAAGAATTTTATGAAACCTGTGTTTTCATAGTTAAAAATTAAAGCTTATATATCTTGCCACATGTAGATACCTTGCAAAACTAATATCAGAATGCATACTTTCTGGTTAGAATCTGTGATTTTCCTCCTTCACATTTAATCATGGTGCAAAAGTTTAGCTAGCTATACAGAAAGAGTTGGTTTCAAGGATTGAAAAACATGGCGCTTCCTAGGTTAAGATGTTTATTACTAAAGTGTAGTGATAGTAGTAGTAGAGGAAAAACAAATATTCATGTAGAGCTTATAATATTTATGGTCAAAAATCTGATTTCTTTTTCTGTTACAAAATTTTCTATTCTGTGTGTTTAACTTTTGTTACTGTTTTTCAAAAATTTCCATTTTTAGATTCTTTTATTTTAGATTCATGGGGATACATGTGTAGGTTTGTTACAGAAGTATATTGTGTGGTACTGAGGTTTGGACTTGAGTTTGTCACCCAGATAGTGAAGAGAGTACCCAATGGGAAGTTTTTCAGCCCTTGCCTCATTTCCTTCTTTTGGAGTTCCCAGTGGCTGTTATTCACATATTTAAGTCCGTGTGAACCCAGGATTTAGTTCCCACTTATAAGTGAGAACATGGAATAGTTTTCTGTTTCTGTATGAATTCACGTAGAATAATGTCCTCCAGAGGCATCCAGGGTGCAGCAAAGGACATGATTTTATCCTTTTTTTATGGCTATGTAGTATTCTTTAGTGTGTATGTACCACATTTTCTTTATCTTATTTATTTATATATTTATTTTTATTTATCTATTTATTTATTTATTTGATTTTATTTTTTGAGACGGAGTTTCGTTCTTCTTACCCAGGCTGGAGTGCAATGGCGCGATCTCGGCTCACCGCAATCTCCGCCTCCTGGGTTCAGGCAATTCTCCTGCCTCAGCCTCCTGAGCAGCTGGGATTACAGGCATGCGCCACCATGCCCAGCTAATTTTTTGTATTTTTAGTAGAGACGGGGTTTCACCATGTTGACCAGGATGGTCTCAATCTCTCGACCTCGTGATCCACCCGCCTTGGCCTCCCAAAGTGCTGGGATTACAGGCGTGAGCCACTCTTTATCTTATTAACTGTTGATGGGCATTTTGGTTGATTCCATGTCTTTGCTATTGTGAGGAGTGCTGCAATGAACATACAAGTGCACGTGTCTTTTTGATAGACTGATTTATTTTCTTTGGGGTATATACCCAGTAATGGAATTGTCAGGGTGATAGTAGCTGTATTTTTAGTTCTTCGAGAAATGTCCAAACTGCTTTCCCCAGGAGTTGAACTAGTTTGGATTCCCATCAACAGTATAAAAGTGTTCCCCTTTCTCTGCATCTATGCTAACATCCATTGTTGTTTTGACTTTTTTTTTTTTGATACGTAGTTTCACTCTTGTTGCCCACGCTGGAGTGCAGAGGGGTGATCTTAACTCGCTGCAGCCTCCACTTCCTGTGTTCAAACGATTCTCCTGCCTCAGCCTCCCAAATAGCTGAGATTACAGGCACCCACCACTATGCCCAGCTAATTTTTGTATATTTAGTAGACACAGGGTTTCACCATGTGGACCAGGCTGGTCTTGAACTCCTGACCTCAGGTGATCCACCTGCCTCAGCCTCCCTAAGTGCTGGGATTACAGGCATGAGCCACCACACCTGGCCCATTGTTTGACTTTTTAATAGCCATTCTAATTGTTGTGAGGTAGTATCTCATTGTGGTTTCGATTTGCATCTCTGATAATTATGTTGAGCACTTCTCATGCTTTTTGGCTGCTTGTATGTCTTTTAAGAAGTGTCTGTTCATGTCCTTTGCTCACTTTTTAATAGGATCATTTGTCTTTTCCTTGTTTATTTGTTTAACTTCCTTATAGAGTCCAGATACTAATCCTTCATTGGATGCATAGTTTGCAAATATTTTTTTCTCATTAGTAGGTTGTCTGTTTACTCTGTTGGTAGAAATTTTTACTTAGGTCCAATTTGTGTGTTTTTAATTTTGTTATATTTGTTTTTGGGATTTTCATAAGTTATTTGCCATGGCCAATGTCAAGAAGAGTATTTCCTGAGTTTTCTTTTAAAATGTTTATAGTTTAAGGTCTTGAACTTAAGACTTTCACCACTCTTGAGTTAATTTTTGTCTGTGGTGAGAGGTATGGGTCCAGTTTCATTCTTCTGGATATGGTCAGCCAGTTTTCCCAGCACCATTTTTTGAATAAGATGTCCTTTCCTTGTTGTTTATTTTTGTCAACTTTGTCAAAGATCCCTTGGTTGTAAGTGTGCAGGTTTATTTCAAGGAGTCTCTATTCTGTTACATTGGTCTCTGTGTCAGGTTTTGTACCGGTACCATGCTTTTTTGGTTACTGTAGCCTTGTATAGTTTGAAGTCTGGTAATGTAATGCCTACAGCTTTGTTCTTCTTGCTTAGGATTGCCTTGGCTTTGTGGCTCTTTTTTGGTTCCGTGTGAATTAAATAGGTTTTTTTAAAAATCTCCAAAAAATGACGTTAGTAATTTGATAGGAATTTATCAAATCTGTGGATTGCTTTGTGTAATATGGACATTTTAATAATGCAGATTCTTCCTTCCCATAAGTATAGAGTGCTTTTCCATTTAATTATGTCATCTATGATCTCCTAGACCTGACAAACAACTTAAGCATAGGCTCAGGAAACAAAAACAAAAATCAGTAGCATTTCTATATTCCAGTAAGGTTCAAGCTGAGAATTAAATCAAGAACTCAATCCCATTTACAATAACCACACACACAAAATACCTAGGAATACTTCTAACCAAGGAAGTGAATATCTCTGTGAGAACTACAAAACACTGTTGAAAGAAGTTTTTCACTCTTTGTAAGGAAATAGAGAGTAACTTAGCAATCTGAATTCTAACTCATGTAACTGGAAAAACATGTTCCAAATTGTTTCAACTACAGGGTTTTATACTGGTAATATTATTTGTTATTTTACTTGGATATTTTTCTTAGAAAAATTAAATATTTTATAAATCTCATTTTATTCCTTGTGCATCCTTATGAATGTGAAATACATTTGTCTCCATTTATTTATCAAGTATTTATTGAGCACCCTAATAATTGGCTCTCACATAATTGGGGTACACGTCAGTCAGTAAGAATTAACTCTGTCATGTTTTCAGGAGTTTATAATCTAAACAAATAATTTTCCAAGTAACTATTTTGATTGTGTTGAGTGCTGTGAATGAGAAGTACAAGATGATAAGAACATAGGGAGACATCCTGGTTTAGGTGTCTAGGAGGGTTTCGTAAAGAAGTGAATTTTGAGGTGAATTACGAAAAGTGTTTGGCTATATTCTTAAGTTAAAGATGTAAATTATTTCATGAGAACAGTAGGAAACAGGCAATCTTAATACAATAAAACTATAAAATAAAGTGTTGGTTAGTAAGATTTTTCTAACTCTGAACTTAAATGCCCTTAAGTTTTAAACAGTTGTCTCTGGTATAACAAAATAATTTGTTAGGAATCCTGACAAAAGTAAACCAAGATTTGTTTTCTGCATAATCTGAAATTGAACAGAACTTATGAGAACACTTAAGAGAACTGAAGACATTCTAGATTGATTTGTTTATCTTTACATGGACATGCTAGAAGACTTGTGGGCATCCTGTGCTTTGTTTCATAACTTTAGTATACTTTTCCTTGATGATGAGTTGACTGTGAGGCAATAATCATTGATTGTTTTTGTTAGTCCAACTTCTGTCTTTCTGATTTTTTGACTGCCTAATGACATTAATAAAAGAATGAAGGGCAGACTGGATCATTCTAATTACCAACCCTGTTTTTTGGTCCTGAGTCACTTCTTAAGACACTAGCTTTTTGAAGCTAATTTCTTTAATCTTAAAGGTCAGATTGCTTTGTCTCAAGTTTTCTACCAAGTCTTACATTATTTTTTAAAGATAAGAATTATAAATGTCAGTATTGGAGAAAAACACCATTTAATTTCCAGTATTTTTAAACAAATGGTTTAAAAATAGAAATAAAAATACTACATTATTCACTGTGTTTACATTACTTACATGCATATAACGATATTTGAAAGTATAAGTACAGATACTTACGGAAATCTAAGATGCATATGCACACATACTTATATACATATAGTCTTGTATGCAGCTGATGCTGCTCCTGATAAGAATACATACCTATGTAATACAGCATAGTAGAGTAGTTATGAACACTGGTTTTAAAATCCAGTTGAGTTTGAGGACTGGGTCTGCCACTTAACAGCTGTGTGAACATGGACAGATCATTTATCTTATCTAACCTAATCTGACTCTGAAATATGTATATGATAGCGTATACACTTGTCCTGAAAGTTAATTGAGATAATCTGTGTAGAACCTGTAGCATAGTCCTCAGTACATATACCGGTTTACATCCCATGCTGACCTCTTCTGGCTGCTGAATACCCAGGGAAAGACTTACTGCTTAGGGACAATATAAAAAAATCTGAAAACACTTGCTCTTATTTTTACATGACAGAGCCCATTGTACCAAACCGACTATAACTTTACAAACCCCAGAATAGTTATGCCTTCTAGATTTTGCGTATTATTGTACAAAATGGCCTATATTTGATAAATCTTAATTTCATACTATGCTTTTGTGCAAACTTTGAGTATACCTTTGGGAAATAAGAAAAAGAATGAGAAGTTTTCTGCTTCAATGCCACATGTTTGCATAAATCAATACTGAGTAGTTCATAAAAAGTTTAGTAAAAATTTTATCTTTTCTTTTTTGTACATTTTTTTTTTTGCCATAAAATGTTGCAAATGTATTGCATCGAAGTTGCAAATGTATTAAGATCTGTTTTGCCCCCTAGTGGATAAAGGAACTTTACTCATGAAATTCGCTTCCATTTCCTCCCTCCTTGTCAGTCTCCTACCTTCCTCTTTTTTCCTTGACTTCATTACTTTTCTGTTCTTTGTTCTCTTCATTTTTCTTTTACTTGGTAAAGAAAAAGAGTATTTCTTATAAATGGCAGCACTCACATCTCACTAATTTTTGTTTATCTAGCACAGTTCCTAACATGCATTAGTTTTAAGGAGATATTTGTTTTAATTGAATTATGTGCATCAAAACAAAGGAATAATAAGATAATTTATTCAAGGTCATGCAACTGTCCAAGAACTACAGTGTGAATTCTGAAGCATTTTGGATTTTCATTTTATCAGAAAATGTTTTTACCTTGCAGTCCAGTGAAAGGTGGAGTTGTAGTAAGCATTACTTAGAATGCCTCTTTAAATTCTGGCTTCCTTTTAGGCCACCACCACCTATCATGACAGATGGTGAAGATTTGGATTACACTGATTTTACAAACCAGCAGAGTTCCACGCGGCATCTCCCAAAATCAGAGTCCTCTCATAAAGGTAAGGAGAGTAAGTATGGTCAAGTTTAGGATTTTATATATATATATATATTAAGCCTCATGTTATAGTGGAAACATCAAATTCTGTGTTATGACCACTAGAGTGGAAAAATAAGTTATTCTCCCCTCAGCAGGTTGTTATAGCACTCCTCATTTATTAAAACAGTAACAAAAAGACAGAAAACAGAGCACCTGAAATTGAATGTAAGATATTCTGTGTATTTACATGTTCCTCTACAAAGAGCACAAAGCTTTCATCAGATTCATACATACACACATACATATATATAATATGTATTTTATATATTATATATATAATACGTATTTTATATGTGTGTGTGTGTATATATATATATATATATATATTTTTTTTTTTTTTTTTGGAGACAGAGTCTTACTCTGTCTCCCAGGCTAAAGTACAGTGGCATGATCTCAACTCAGTGCAGCCTCCGCCTCCTGGGTTCAGGTGATCCTTTCATCTCAGCCTCCCAAGTAGCTGGGATGTGCCACCATGCTCGGCTAATTTCTGTATTTTTTGTAGAGATGGTGTTTTACCATGTCATCCCAGGATGGTCTAGAACTTCTGGACTCAAGTAATCCTTCCGCCTTGGGTTTCCAAAGTGTGCTGGGATTACAGGCATGAGCCACTGCACCCGGCTCTTTGATCAGGTTCTTAAAGGGTGATTGTGACCTCCATTTAGATCTGTAGGGCTGCATTTTCTCTAGTGGCTCTTGTTTCCTATCTGCATATGACTCAATTAGATTTAAAATATGCATGCATACCTCCCACATAACTTTTATGCAAAAGAAAAATGGGACAAAGCAAATAAAAAAATATAGATATCTAAATTGGACGAAACATTTAAAATGTGTCACCAGAAAGGGGTCCCAATCCAGACTCCAAGAGAGGCTTCTTGGATCTCCTGTAAGAAAAAATTCTAGGGGAATCCCTAAAGTGAAAGCAAGTTTAGTAAGAAAGTAGAGGAATAAAGAATGGTTGCTCCATAGGCAGAGCAGCAGTGTGGGCTACTGGTTGCCCATTTTTATGGTTATCTGATTATATGCTGAAAAGGGGTGTATTATTCATGAGTTTTCTGGGAAAGCGGTGGGCAAATCCTGAAACTGAGGGTTCCTCCCCATTTTAGACCATGTAGGGTAACTTCTGGATGTTCCCATGGCATCAGTATTCTGTCATGGCCCTGTTGGGAGTGTCTTTTTAGCATGCTGCTGATGCATTATAGTTAGCATATAATGAGCAGTGAGGACAGAGTTTGTCACCATCTTGGTTTTGGCCAGCTTCTTTTATCAGCAAGCCTATTTTATCAGCAAGGGCTTTTTGACTTGTGTCTTGTGTCATCTCATCGTGTGACTGAGAATGCCTAACCTTCTAGAATGCAGTCCAGTAGGTCTCAGCCCTGTTTTATCCAGCCCCTGTTCAAGATGGAGTTGCTCTAGTTCAAACACCTCAGACAGAAGGAACAGTTGAGTTGTATTTGCTCTTGCAAGGATCTGCATTCACTTAGGTACAATTTTATGAGTTGTAAAATGAAATGGTTAAAAGGTAGCTTCTTATGTTAATTTCCCCATCTGCAAAATGGAGGCAGTCTAAATAGAAAGTGTCAGAGTTGGCCGGCGGTGGCTCAAGCCTGTAATACCAGGCTTGGATGGTCAAGAGATCGAGACCATCCTGGTCAACATGTTGGCCTACTAAAAATACAAAAAATTAGCTGAGCATGGTGGCGCATGCCTGTAATCCCAGCTACTCAGGAGGCTGAGGCAGGAGAATTGCCTGAACCCAGGAGGCGGAGGTTGCGGTGAGCTGAGATCGCGCCATTGCACTCCAGCCTGGGTAACAAGAGCGAAACTCCGTCTCAAAAAAAAAAAGAAAGTGTCAGAGTTGTCAGGATCATTAAAGGTTAAATATGTAAAAGAAGTTTGCAGAGTGCAGTTACTTTGCAACTATATTAGATCTTATTGATGCTGTTTATTTGTTATGATTTTTTAAGACTTAGGTAGTATTGTTACTCATTTCCAAGTCTAATAACAATGTCCTGAAATTTCTTTGAATTACATTTTCTGCTGTCATTTAAAAATACCATTGCACAGATGACACTCTAGACTACTTAAATGAGCATCTCTGGATGGAGGTTGTTAAGCACTTGCATTTTTAAGAAAGCTTCCCTCCCCCCATTCTGACTTTGATTCAATACTGAGAAAAGGATAAAAGGCATTAGTTTAAAAAGGAGGATAGTTGGACATTATAAACATCTTCATCAAAACATCCCACCTCAGTTTTCATCAATTGGTGGCATTTTCACTGTTCCTGATTTAAGGAAGTAGCTCGTATTTTTCTTTCTCAAACTATATATGCATCACCTTTTGGTGGGCGGGGGGGGGGGTACCTTTGTACTGTCCTTGACGTACATTTGATGCATAATATTAAAATAACACATTGATTCTGTATATATGTCAGGATCAAGAAACAAGTACTACTAGAAATTTATAGAAATAAAGTTATTTTGCTGGGGCAGGGAGAAAAAGCTGTCTGAGTTTCGAAAGTTTTTCCTTAATTGTGTTTCCTTTTTTCTCCCCCCCCCAGGTTTTCATTACAAGCATTAAAAACCTAAGAATCTGCCTTGAAAATGGACTCACTTTAGCAAATATTACTGGGTGATACAGAATGAATTCTACACATATTTTTTTCATCTGTGTTTGCATTCCTGGGATTTATCCTCAAGCATATATTTCTGACCATAAATAATTTAAATTCATTTCAAATGTTTTGGTTATCCGTGATCACTTGGGCAGTATGAGAAAATGTAGCTTCTGAATATTGGCCACCTCTATGCTGCATATACTTCCTGGGATATAGTATCTAAGATCTCTGTAAGCTACCATTTTGTTAGGTATAGAAGTTTGGTATCTAGGGAGTAGGCCTTATTTAGCAATTCAAATTTTATGGAGATGAATGATCAAAGTAAAAACAATGGGTGCAACGCAGAATAAAAGAATATAAGAAATAGCTATTTGTTGCATTAGTGTATGATATTTTGCAGGGTATGATATTTTGCAGGACAGAGCTTTTGCCTTTTATACTCTTTTGAAAAAGAAAATCACAACCATAAAGTATTTTTAAAAAAGAAACACTCAGAGCAATTGAAGTATGTTATTCTGACTAGATGGACTGTAGAGGTTTTGCATATCTGCCTCAGCCCTCCTGGGGAAATTGGCCTAGATAGCATTCTTTAACACTCTGCTTTTGCCTCAGTAGCAAGGCTGTCTGAAGCCCCTGGGCAGTGGACCGTTTATTAATATTTATTGAAAAAATTTAGTTCACTGAAATTTTATCTTAGATATATTAATAACTATCTCTTCTTTTGTTTTTCATTTACTTATAGAACCAAGGAAATGGAATTGAAACATGATTCCATAAGTAATGATGCCATCCATCTCTCTGGCTGTAGACTAAGGTTTTTCTCTTGCTTAAAGTCATTGCAGTATTTGTTGACAACCTCTCAATAATGTTTTGTTTATTTGCCAATAATTAGATTAATTCAACATGAAGTTGAATTTGATAACATGGTTATTTATTCAAGTATTTGGGTATTTCGTTTTTTTTTTTAAGATGGAGTTTCGCCTTTGCGAGGCCGAGGCGGGTGGATCACGAGGTCAACAGATCGAGACCATCTTGGTCAACATTGTGAAACCCCGTCTCTACTAAAATTACAAAAAATTAGCTGGGCACGGTGGTGCGTACCTGTAATCCCAGCTGCTCGGGAGGCTGAGGCAGGAGAATTGCCTGAACCCAGGAGGCGGAGATTGCGCCGAGCCGAAATCGCGCCATTGCACTCCAGCCTGGGTAACAAGAGCGAAACTCCGTCTCAAAAAAAAAAAAAAAAAAAGATGGGAGTTTCGCCCTGTCACCCAGGCTGGAGTGCAGTGGTGCAATCTCTGCTCACTGCAACCTACGCCTCCTGGGCTGGAGCAATTCCCCTGCCCCAGCCTGCAGAGTAGCTGGAATTACAGGCATGTGCCACCATGCCTAGCTAATTTTTGTATTTTTAGTAGACATGGGGTTTCACCATGTTGGCCAGGCTTGCCTGCAACTCCTGATCTCAAGTGATCTGCTCGCCTCAGCCTCCCAAAGTGCTGGGATTACACAGTGGTGCCGGCCAACCAAGTATTTGGTTTTAAACATTTGTATTTCTTTGTGCAAGGGATTGTATTCCTTTGTATAATCATTATTATTACAAGATCTTTAAGCCCCTCTTCAAGAAATTTAGTTTTTGTGTAGCTGCTAACTTTACTGCAATATTTATTTTCCTATACTACTTAAATAACAAATGGCAATCAAGCTTTCCTGTTCTCCCTCTCTTTCTCTCCCTACTCCATATATATATATATATATATATGTGTGTGTGTGTGTGTGTGTGTGTGTGTGTGTGTGTATATATCCCTTCAGCTTGACTTGCTGTATCTTTTATTTTATGAATCTGAAATTCTTGGCATTTCAATAGGGCGTTTGTTTAGGAAGGAAATATATAGATCACTAGAGAAAATGTTAATATTTTTCCCACTGGGAACTGCCTTCTGTTTGCCTTACCTTTTCAGATAGCTTTTAAAGTTGGGCAATATTCAGGAAGCTGTTTAGAAGAGTTTCTCAGAGTGAATTTGGGTATCTCATTTTGAGAAAGATTCTTAATTTAATAAAGTTTATGTATTGTAGGAATTTAAATAAAATCATCTGAGTTAAGTTTTGGGTAAATGTTAATCGGAAAGATAATATGCATCCCTAGGTGATGTCATTTTGGAGAAATGGAGGAAAAGGAAAATAACAGGACTTCTTATAGCTATGATAAAATGCATAAAGAAAAACCTCCATTTAAATACAGAAGGGAAGACAAAATGGTAGGTCCTGGCCTTAAGTCAAATTCTGGATAGTGGTTTCAACATCCAAAGCTTAGGCCTTGTTTACTTATAGTAATGCTATATTTTTCTTTATCTGCCCTGTGATTTTGCTTCATGTCCTTCAAAGTTTTTTATGGTAATTCTAAAGGAAAAAACAGTGTATTTTTATTTGATAACTAGGCAAAATCATTTGCCATTTTTTATTTCATAAATATTTATTTTTCTATCTCTTAATATCAGTTTTATTTAAAAAATTATGTGTTTCTCTTGCCTCTCACATAGTTCATCCAGTCATATTTATTATTGTCAAATGTTAACTGGAGATAATTAAAAAAAAAAATGTCACCACTTAACACTTAACCAGAATGTTAGTGTTTTAGCTGTCTTAGTAAGTGACCAAAGGTGGTATTTCCCTTGTGATAGCTAATTCAACATCTTTATTGAAAATTTGTTACTTTTTTTCAAGGTTTCTAAAAGATTACAATTCTAAAATATTTTATGTTTATTTTATTTTTGTGTAAAGCAAACACTTTTTAAAGAATATCAGAGTAAATATTACCCTATGAATAAGGAGATAGAAATGAAATTCAGCCAGTTAAATCCTCATATTCTTTCTCATGCAAGTAATGTAATAATGTTTGAGACTATAGAAGCAACTCAACTGTATTTTAATGAACTGCCAGACACTCTTCACTGTGTTCTCTGCTTTTTACTTTGTCATTTTTATATAAATGTGGAAGCATTTTTTGTTGTTGTTGCTGCTGGAACGAACACATGCAGCTTAATTTTTAGGCCCATAATGTAGTAATGATTTAATGTTGTGATGTAAACTAATAATTCTGTCCTTGGAAGAAATTTCTGTTTCTGTATCTTTGTTCTTTGGAGGCCAGGCCTCGTTAACACCAGTATTGTTGAATAAACAAAATATGTTATCGAGCCTTATCATAAGGCTGCTTGACATAGACACCCACTCTCCTCTACCTTTTATAAATCATTGTTTGGAAGTGAAGTTAGATAAGAGTCAGATTAAATGTTTTGACTTGAAAAATATTTGACTCTTGCGTTCAAACCACTGTTAGACATAAGTAGTTTATTAGACCTAAGTATTTTATTTTGGAATTGGACAGTCATTTCCATGTATTTAAAGGAACATTGTGATTTTCAGAAAGTGGCTTTGCGTACTATAACTATTTCTCAAGTTACTCTACAACCACCAGGAGCATACCAATAAATTACAAAAAACAGAAAATGAAAAATAACTCTAGGTGTTTTCAATGATAGAGAAATAGCTAAGTTAGAAAAGAAAGATGAATAGATGCTCCTAGGAGGAAAACCTTTGTAGAATGCAGTGACCACTTGGATCTAGGTCATACTCCAAAATGTGTGATCTTGGTCTTTATGTTTACTGAACTCACTCTAGAAAATTCTGGACCCAATTCATTACCCCTTCCTTTTGTTCTCTAATGTGGCCTGAAGCTCAACTAGATGATGAGTACATTCATTGCTGATTGTTGCTCATGTCTTTCCCTCAAAGTCAAAACTTTTCAATATAAAAATAATTAGCTTTTAACTGATTATTAATTTTCTTTAATACTGTCAAATCTTGTCTATATTTTGTGTTGTGCCAAATTTGAAGTACCTACTATAATATGGTGCATTCAGTTTACCACGTAAGTGGTTAACGTTTTAAGTCTTGAATTTTGTTTGTTTGTTTTTTTGAAATGGAGTCTTGCTCTGTTGCCAGGCTGGAGTGCAGTGGCGCCATCTGGGCTCACTGCACACCCCGCCTCCCAGGTACAAGGTATTCTCCTGCCTCAGCTCCCCGAGTAGCTGGGACTAAAGGTGCACGCCACCCAGCCCACCGTTTTTTTTTTTTTTTTTTTTTGTATTTTTAATAGAGATGAGGTTTCACCTTGTAAGCCAGGATGGCCTCTATCTTTTGACCTTGTAATCCACCTGCCTCGGCCTCCCAAAGTGCTAGGATTACAGGTGTGAGCCACTGTGCCTGGCTAAGTCCTGGATTTTTAATGTCTTGCCTTTGTATAAAAATCACTTTGGGGAATACCAAGATGATTTATTATTTAGTGATTATTTTCTTGAAAGATAACTATGATGATAAGGAGTGAAATCTCTGTGTAAACAGCTTTCTGAAGAACTGAGACTAGAATAGAACTTGCAGCCAAAGGCTTTTTTCCCTTTTGGGAAGACAGTATTTGTGTAGAGAGTATTAAGGTAGATTACATTGTACATAGAGTGCCATATTGTGATAAAAGTTTTTCTTAGAAACAATCATAACAAAATCAAAACCTCATCTTTCAGCAAAAAGGAACAATGATTTTTAAATTACTTTGTCTGTTACTTACTGCTTATAGAGAAGTGACTATATAAAATGGCCCCATTTTCTCATTTCTGGTGGTGCCTGTGAGTCTTAAAGCCATATCTGCTTATCTTACGGTTGATAGAATACTTTTTTCTTCTTAGCCCATGATAGGTATATGGGCAGGTAGAAGGAAACTGGAGACTGTCCTGTTAATGCTGCATGGGGCACAATGTCATTCAAATTCTTGGTGGAAGAATCTCCTTTATCCATGGTGAGAGGTAAGAGTATTAAAGAAAAGAGACAGAGGCTATTGGTGGTCCTGGTGTTTAACAACTATCATTAAAAATGCTGAAACTTAATTCTAGAGAAGTCAAGAAAGAAAAGGTAAACTGAGAAAAATCTGAGTACTACAGAGTCACTTTTACAATGAGACCTGCACTTTATGCCAGTACTGTATGTTACTTCCTTTATGTGACTGACTGTCAACTTTCCATTGAAGTATAACATTCACAGGTGATCCCCAAGCATCCTTGTCGTCACAAGCTTTGGACCTTCTCTGCTACTGACTCGTGGCTGACCTGTAACACAGTAAATACATAGTTTTATTTCATGTTGTTTGTCAACCTCTGAATAAGCAGTAGCATGACCAAAAAGACTGGTAGAGAAAGTGTGAGAATTTCCTGATCAAATCCTTTATACCAGTTGACCACTTCTTGAGTAATTGAGAGTTTACTGTCTTCTATGGTGACTATATAGAAGATATTTCCAAAGGTTCTGGTGTGCAGGGAAGACATTTAGATGATTTGTAAGAATTTCACCAACACCCTTGGGTATTGAAATGTTTAACCATTGACAGAAAAAAAAAGGAGAAAACCAAACAAAACAGAGACATTTACTTGAAATGGGAGATTTGCTAATGTGAAGAGTGTTTTTATTTTACTTTTAAGAGAGAAGCAGGAAAACTTTTGCCATGGTAAGAAAGACACCAGAAGGGTGGTTCTGTTTAATGCCACAAGCTAATACAATCTTGTAAGTAATCATGTTGAGTTGTAGAACTATATGGCCCTAAAAACCATTCTCTTTCATATATGTATGTATACTATATATATATATATATATATGAACACTGCCTAGCAATGTTTTAATAGATTTAAGATGCATTTGTACATTCTTAGCAAACTAGAAAATGCTTTTTTTTCCTTTTCGAGTAACTTCATAGCATAGGGGACCAGCGCTGTGCAGGTTTCAGCATTTCAGATAAGGGCAGAATTAATTGTGTGACTTAATGCCCTGTTATTCATTGGTGAGGTTCATATATAAGTGATAGAGAAAGTGACAGATGGGTGTGAGTGACATTTCCTTCATGAAAGGTCAAGGAGTAAGAACATGTAAGGGAAGACAGCTAAGAGACTATACTATGACATATCGTATAATTGGGATACATTTTTGTTAACCCTGGATTTCAGGCTATAATTGCTAAAATAATTTCTAGCTGTTAAATTTGATGAGAAGGCTTTTGACATCAGAATTTTTATACTTTTGGTTGAATTGGCCTTGGAAATCCCAATCGTTTCTAATTTCAGCTCTTGCTGTACACTGCAAGCCAAATGCTCTTTCTCAGAAAGAGCTATGTTTTTTACTTTCCTCTTACAGGCAACCCAATATTTATTTCATAAATTGTTACAAATAATGAGAGGATACACTTGGAAGATAGCATATAAAAATGATGGTCCAAAATGAGAATTCTCCATAATGGGGTTTTCCCTAAGATGAATCCATTGCAGCACATACTTTGAAAAGGTGCTGAATTCAGAAGTACAAGAGTTTTCTCATACAAATGAAGCTGCTCAGGAAATCTGAGGTGATGCTATCATTTGTCTCATAATTTGGAAAAATGGTCTTTTGAGAGAGAGACTACACATTGCCTGGGCGCTTTCAGATTCTTTAGTAAGTGCCCCTTTGATATTTGGAATGTACATATTTTTATAAAATAAAAGGATTGTTATCCCAAATGCTCATGGATTTATAACCAAGCCCCAGAAGAATAAGCAGCTTTGAGATAGCTATTTCATGGAATTAAACAGAACCTTGATGGAATATAGTTGCCTATGTGAGGACAGAAAACAAAGAGGCTGCCTCAAACCACATCTAGAGATTAAGTGAAATTGTGAGGGACACTTTGTGGATGCCTTAAAGGTGACCAGTGGTGGGTTCTAATGGGAATATATACATCCATCTGGACTAGGCCAATGGAAGCAGTCTCTTTCAGTTCACCTTCATACAGCACAAGTTGTTCCTGCTCATGACCTCACTGAGGAAAATGAGAAACGTGGTGCTGGTGACTTTCATGTGTCTTGGGAGATTGATGTGTTCAGTGTCATTAAGTCACTCCCAAAACACAAACCTCCTTTTTAAAATGCCAATTGTACATCTACATTAATTCATCTATGCAAGCTTGTGTTTTCATGGTTTGTTTTTTACACCATATTTCTCATTGGGTTCTTTAAACATCAGGTTTAATATTGATATTATGAATAATTTTTAAACCAAAGTATTCTATAAGTCTGTGTGCTTTGTTTTCCTGGATGGTTTGACCAAGGTAAACACCAGTCTTGTCCTTCTCTCTTAATAAAGTCATCCATTTCTTAAGTCAGTGGTCTCTGTCTCATGTTTCTGTTTTGTTTCTTTACAGCATTCTAGGACGGGAAGTTATGAGAGTATTATTATTTTTACAGAATGACCCCAATAGTTCTGTTTAATAACAGTAAAATTTTCTCTTACTCCAGTTTCATACACTTTCTATAAATATATATGACATGATAATGAAGCCTGCTGTATTGAAATTCTCAATAAATACTGCCAAGTATGGATCAGTTGGAGAAGTATCTTTGTTTTGTGTGTAGTGTATGATGGTTTGATATATTTGGGAGAAAAAATAGGTAAATGGATGTTCACACAATAATCCTAATGATTAACGACTCCATGCACAACTCGCCTGCACTATATCTAACACCTTGTAGACACTAAGTGTGTTTTGAGAAAATGGGTAACTGATTTATTCAATGTTTTACCTTTGTAGGGCTTATTTTTTATTTTAGTTGTTTTGATAGAATAGCCATGATATGGGAAATGATTCTGGAAATATATATCAGGTATTTTAAAAATATTTTCAATGACTACTAAATTAATTTTTAAAGATGTTACTGTTTAGCCACCCTATAGCAGATTCTCTAGACCTCAGGTTCCTCTATGGTAAATAGAGCAGGGAATCTCAATGGTTTCTGTAGTCTCTGCTAGATCCTGAGTAGTGCCAGTGGTGCGCAGGGGATACTGATTTATTTAGTTGAAGAAGATTGGTATGTTAATTTCAACCTTCGTCTCTAATTACTAAAGTTACTAATGGAAAAAGTTGATGCATCTAGAAGCCAATTAAAAAAATTAAATATGTAAGTAAAATAGCTCCCTTTAATCTGTGGTAAGAGGTACTCAAGGAGATAGGGTGATTTATGTGGACTATCACTGAGTCTGTCAGGCTATGGCCATGTGAAGAAGTAACATACTAGAAAGTCCCTTAAAACAGCTAAGAGACAGCTATCCACCTCGTACACCTTAGAAATATGGGGGAACCTTTAAGAGGATTTTGGACTACTGCAAATCCTAGCGTCACAGTTTCAAGACAATTTTGTCCTCATTTCAAGGGCAGGAAGACCAATTCCCTGCCTCCATTGTGTTTGTGTATCATGCTAAAATGAACGAACACAAACTAAAGACTGCTGAAAAATTAGTGTACTAAAGAAATCTACAGGAATAAGGAGATGTGGCTGCTAGTCCAGGTTTTGCCATAAGCTTGTTTCAGGGACTTGGGACATCATTTATCCTGCTCTGTACCTCAGTTCACTTGCCTGAAGTACTCCTTTGAGTGTAACATTTGAGGAGTCCTGCTGTCAAGGGCTGCTAATTTCTTTTAAGATGTTGCCAGGAAGAGAGCAGCTTTATGCACTACTGGGTGCCTGCAGAATCAAAGACTTTATAGGCATTCCATCATGAAAGGCCTCAAGGGTGATCTTTTGTTCTTTACTGCATGATTTACAGCTACTTGTATCTCCACATCCAGTAGATTGTCATTGACTTGTGTGTGTGTGTTTGCAAAAAATACATATATTACAAATTTTACTGAAAGGATATGTAATACACAGCTTACAAATAATATGTAATCTCTCTTCTGTATAGTGAACTTATAGAATGTTCGCATTGATTTATTCAAACTCATGTATCTTTAGTTAACCTATGGTTGCAATTAACAAATGAGCAATTCTGAAATGAATATTGAATGACATTTTCACTTATATTGACAAGATGAGAGTATAACAATAGAATTGGATGTCCGAAGTTGACTCTGGTTAACAATATCAGTTCTTTGCTGAATTTAAAACTTTTTAAACACTAAAAGAATGTTCCTCAGTATTTTGTGCTATTCACAATGTAACAGCTACAGACATTTTAAAGTTTTATCCTACAGTATTAATTGTGTTAACATTTTCCCCCATCTTTTTAAGACCAGTTATTAAGCACATCCATCTTTTTAAAGTAGACAGTCAACAAAACAATAATTCAAGCTCTGATTTAAGTTTTTTCAATATCCATGATACAAATACTCTATCCATGGCCTATTTCACATATCAGTGATGTCATATCAATGTGGCATCACCAAATATAGAATCAATAAATAGCACACCATTATGTAGTATTTTCCTTACAGAAATAAAATAGATATAACCTCAAAAGTATAGATAATGGTAAAATAAATAGTAATATTTATAATCTTTGTTTTTAATATGATTTACTTAATTGTAACTTGTTTAATTTTTAATAATGGATGTGGTTAGTAACTGGCTTGCCAAACTTGAAGAATTTTAAGTTCTGAGATACATGTGTAGAATGTGCAGATTTGTTACATAGGTATACAGGTGACATGGTGGTTTGCTGCACCCATGAATGCGTTGTCTACATTATGTATTTCTCCTAATGCTATCCCTCCCCTAGCTCCTGACCCCCGACAGGTCTTGGTATGTGATGTTCCCCTTCCTTTGTCTATGTGTTCTAATTGTTCAGATGCCACTTGTGAGTGAGAACATGTGGTGTTTGGTTTTTGGTTCTTCTGTTAGTTTTCGGAGAATGACTGTTTCTAGCTTCATGTTGCTGCAAAGGACATGAACTTACCCTTTTTTATGACTGCATAGTATTCCATGTTGTTTATATGCCACATAATTATCCAGTGTGTCATTGATGGGCATTTGGGTTGGTTCCAAGTCTTTGCTATTTTGAACAGTGCTGCAATAAACATATGGTTACATGTGTCTTTATAGTAGAATGATTTCTAATCCTTTGGGTATATACCCAGTAATGGGATTGCTGGGTCAAATGGTATATCTGGTTCTAGACCCTTGAGGAATCGCCATACTGCCTTCCACAGTGGTTGAACTAATTTACACTCCCACCAGCGGTGTAAAAGTATGCTTATTTCTCCACATCCTTTCTAGCATCGGTTTTCTGACGTTTTAATGATTACCATTCTGACTGGCTTGAGATGGTATCTCATTGTGGTTTTGATTTGCATTTCTCATGACCAGTGATGATGAGCTTTTTTCATATGTTTGTTGGCCTCATAAATGTCTTCTTTTGAGAAGCATCTGTTCACATCCTTTGCCTACTTTTTGATGGAGTATTTTATTTTTCTTGTAAATTTGTTTAAGTTCTTTGTAGATTCTGGATATTAGCCCTTTGTCAGGTGGATAGATAGGTTGCAAAATTTAACTCCCATTCTGTAGATTATCTGTTAACTGTGATGATAGTTTCTTTTGCTGTGTAGAAGTAATTTAGTTTAATTAGGTCCCATTTGTCAGTTTTGGCTTTTTTGTATGTGTTTTTCTAACCAATGTCCATCCCGATATTTTATTCCCCAGCTTGAATTTTCAGCCTCTTTCCTCAGATGGTCTTTGAATGTTCTTGTAAATTAACTCCACTAGTATTTCTTGCTTACTGTACTCCCAGGACACACCTTTCTTACAAATTCCTCAGCCTGGTGATGCAAAGTTGGTATTTGTCTTGTAGATCATAGTATGTCCTTAATTACGCCTGCCACTTTAAATTATTTTGTACCATTACCTGATCTTTGCCATCACTAGCAGTGCTCTTCGTGCCTAACTAATCTTTCTGAAACCTTCTCTGCTGACCTCTCAAGCTCTCCTTCCCTCAAATCCTTGTCCAGGCTTCCGGGGCTCTCAGACACAGACAGGTATATCTGCCATTGACTATAAGCATTTATGTCTACATGAAAATGGCTTTTTTGGCTTGGAGAGGACAGTACCAGTTGGCGTATTTGAATTTTTTTTCCCTTTATATTCTTCGGTGTCAAGTCTAAGAACTCTCTACCTAGCCCTACATCCTGAAGATTTTTCTCCATTTTGGAGCGGATTTTGTATAAAGCGAGGTTTAGGATAAGGTTTATGTTTTTTACATGGATGTTTAATTGCTCCAGAACCATTTTCTTGTTATCTTTTAAAAATAAACTCTCCCATTTTTAGTTTGATTTTGTTGTGTTTAGAGAAGACGCTGCATGATTCCAGTTTCATTAAATTTGTTGAAGTTTGGGGCGTGGTGCAGTGGCTTATGCCTGTAAGCCCAGCACTTTGGGAGGCTGAGGCAGGTGGATCATGAGGTCAGGATATCGAGACCATCCTGGCAAATACGGTGAAACCCGTCTCTACTAAAAATACAAAAATTAGCCAGGTATGGTGGCGGGTGCCTGTAGTCAGCTACTCAGGAGGCTGAGGCAGGAGAATCGCTTTAACTTGTGAGGCACAGGCTATAGTGAGATTGCACCACTGCACTCTAGCATGGTCCACAGAGCTAGACTCTATCTCAAAAAAAAAAAAAAAAAATTGAAGTTTGTTTCATGGCCTTGGGATATTGCCTATTTTAGTATATGTTCCATGAGCACTAAAAAGATCATGTGTTGTGTTGCTGTGGGTGGAGTATTCTACGTACTTATTCTTCTTGACTTATGGTGGAGTTACGTCTGCGTAAACTCATTAAGTTGAAAATGCCTTTCAACTTAATCTTTATTTATTTTTTTAAATAGAAGTGGAGTTTCACCGTGCTGGCAAGGCTGGTCTTGAACTCCTGACCTCGTGATCTGCCTGCCTCAGCCTCCCAGAGTGCTGGGATTACAGATCTGAGCCACTGCATCCGGCCTCAACTTAATAATTTCAACTTATGATGGGTTTATCCAGATGTATCCCCATCCTCATTTTTGTAATCATACTTATCTAGATGCAGCATCATTTTCATACAGTCAGGGGCCATCTTTATGCTTATTAGATCTTGTTGGTCAGTGATATTGTTATTCTATATCCTCACTGATTTCTATCTAGTTGTTCTATCAGTTTTCAAGAGAGTGGTGTTGAAGTTTCTACTTCTGGATTTGTCTGCTTTTTAAAATTTCAGTTCTATCAATTTTTGCTTTACATATTTTGCAGCTGTCATTTGATACTCTGTGTGTGTGTGTGTGTGTGTGTGTGTGTGTGTGTGTGTGTGTAGTGGGGTTCTCCAGAGGGACAGAACTAATAGGATATAGAAATATGAAAGAG